GATTTTGGTGATAATGGATATGCCGCATCTTGTGACTATGGTGGAGGCCTGCTCCATATGAGCGCCAGAGACCAGACGAAAGGCATTATATTTGCTCATGGAGACTTCAAACATACGTACCATTCATCTCTTTCCCGCGCACAAAGACAGCAAGTTGTAAATGCTACATTTGGTCTCAGAATACCGGATAATAAGGAGCTGTTCCAGCAAAGAAATGGCACGGAAGACCTGCCTTCAATGTTCGAACTTGGAGACATGATTGAAAGGGGTTGCTTCAACTATCGCTGGCCATTTCATGAATATGTCCTACTATTGAATCAAGATGGCAAACCGGATGATCGTGAGACGGGAACGGTAAGCGCCCCTAGGTGTATAGATTTATCATACATCGAACCCTTCATCTGAGCATACCTTTAAATGTTGAATCGGATTGGAAATTCTTAGTGTAAAATCGAGATGTTCTCAAACTACCACACATAACCCCTTGTCCCCCTTTTTTTAGCCGGATTAGAAACAAATCATTTGCTGACCTCCAAACGCTACTTACAGTGCGCAACTGTTTCATTCGTCAAGAACGATGTCTTGTACCAAGTAATTAGACTTGAGAAAGGATGTCGCCCGGAAGTTAATAAATGTGATATTTCGTGTTGGGATGGTCAGCTCATCCTCTCAATTGGAGGATCAATTAGATTCGGGGTATTCAGCACAGGCGACAGTGACACAGATGTCAAATACACTACAGATGGGTCGTATCTTGGAATCATTGAGGATAATAAGAATAAGACGCAGTTGGAATTTCGAGTATACCAACTATGCGACGGTAGGTACAGCTTATTGAAGCTCGGAAAACCATCTGAAAACGAGAACGAGTGCGGCATAGGCAAACGTATAGGGTCATTCTATGTATCCGCAAAATTACCAGAAAAAAAAGCACAGGGGTCAAATGGACAGCGACCTAAGGATATACATGTTGTGTTTGTTGCTGAACTAAGACTGAGGGAAATAGGACATGAGCAGCCCTGGCCTAGAACACCAACTTCCGAGGAAACGTACAAGTATCTTGGCATTGATCCGTACAGTAAGATGGCTACAGCGACTATGTGGGATGTCATATTTCAGCAGCGAGAAGATCAAATTGCTCGTTATTCCGAGTTATCCGAAGTTAATTTAATCGGACGCTGCATCGAAAAGATCTTAACGGTTGAACTTATACCAACAACCTTTTCTAAAGACCACGATACTGGTCTCAAAGAACAGGATACTAGTTTCAAAGAACATGCCCTAGCTCTAGTCAGTAATCTGTTCGTGCGGCCAACAATTGACCTGCAATCGCTATTGTAAGTAGTTCATGACTGGGAAGAAATAAGATCGATTGCTTACATCTTACTTAGCTGGAATGTACGCTTCCTTGTCAAAGTTTATCGGCATTTAAGGAAAATATACTCTACATCAAAAAAGGGTTCTCCAACGCTGAAGCTAGACGAGAATCACGGCACGATTAATGTTGAATCACGGGCCTCAAGCCAACCCAACGTCCCAAGAAAAGATATACTTGATTACGACTCTGTATACTCTTTGAATCAGGGGTATATTCTGAACGATGTTGTCAAATTCCAAATGATGCGGCTTCAAAAGCACATAGAACAAGTTATTACTTATATTGTCCTAGCTTTTATTCGGCCGGGACTAAAAACTAATCTCCCACCACATTCCTCGAAAGCTTTCCATTCAAACTATTATTACGTCACAATTTCAATATGGTATGTCGTAAGTAAATGCGAGGATTTCAAATTTGCGTGGGATTGGGCAAATAGGATCCATGAGTGGCCCGAAGGAAAAGGTCTTCTCGACGATTTGCTCGCCCCCGATTACCTAGTACCGGAAGATGGCGCAAAAGATAAGGTGGCGTTCTTGAAGTGGTATCATTATATATCGATTATGAACTTATTAGAGAGAAAGAAGCCTCTTCTTCCTAGAGCATGGAAAGATTCGCACCTTGGAAATAAGGTAAAGCAATTGGAAAGATATGCTAGGCGTATTGCAGCAGAGAAGCTAGCATCAAGTGTGCCATTTTGTGCCGACAGCGAGATTCTGGATAGACTGGGGTTCTTAGCCAAGCCATTGAAAGCAGAGAACTCTAAGTCCCAGGGTTACGTCGCGATAACTATGGCGAAATATATCTTGGGCCGTGAATCTACCAGGAGCCTTAATCCTGGTCGCCTTGAAGATGGCGCCAGAGGGCCAACTACCGGTCCTTGGGAGATCTATGCACTCTGCCACCATAGTCAGCTGTCTGCCAACAGCTACCAATATACGAAGGTTGATGATAGTCTCCGGGAGCAAATTGTTGAAAATATTGAGAAAAGCAGGCGTAATATTTCCCAGTTTATCAACGGGGAGGTATGCCTTGTTCCGTGCTGGGAAAGGACAAATAAGGCTTCATTTCAATCGGAGGCGACGAGCGTCTTGGCATCTACTCTATTGAGTATTTATAACAAAGACTTGCGTCTAGATTCAGCAATTTCTGCGAGCACGGTAGATGACAGTTCTTCATGCTCGTCTACGGAGTTGAGCAGGATCGGTGACTCGAAGGTCATCATGCGCAATAAAACTTCTTCAACAGAGAGAATACTAGCCAAGTTAGAAGCATCTGGAAAGCAGCCAGTACTTAGATGGAAGAAGTTCAGACCTCCCCAAAAATATCACCCATTGAGCTTCTTCAACTCACTGGAGAGTACACCAGAAAAGCTTAGTTGTGAGGAGACTCAAGCAAAATTAAAGGCCTTCTTGGCCCGCCGGGGGCAAACAAGCACTGTAAACGAGTCTACTCAAAGTCTGGGCCCATGCGCTGTTGAGAAAATGCTTAAGAAGAATACGCTGTCAATTATCGATTTTAAAGCCACCATACCTGAGCAATGGGATATCTACACTTGGCAAGGATATAAGAGTGATATGCTGCCAGTTATTGACGCAAAAGACAGCGACAACAACATAAAAAAAATCCAGAAAAGGCTTTCGAGTAGTGTAAGACTTCTCAATATCTGCACCCATTTTATGCTAATGAAGACTAATAAAACATTATAGCTTGTTGACCAAGGGGTTCAACATCGAACGATCATCTTATCAACGTAGGATTCCCAAAAGGGGGTGGAAGTTTAAGTACGATGCTAAACTAACTATATAACAGTCCTTTCGAAAAGATATTCAAATATCGTCTCCTGAGTCTATTTTGGCAAGCCTTCCATGTAGACTCAAGTGACTGCTTTATGAGCCATGAATCCACATTGCCCGACTTCTCCTGTCAAAGCAGTAACACCTGGTGCGCACGAATAACCGTCCGATGTTGGTCAATGTCAGAACAAGTCAATAATGATGACAAAGAAAACAAAGAACATCAAGATGGTATAATCAAGGCAAGGTCAAACGAACCGATCAAAGTACCGGAGCCACTCAAAGCTTTACATAGCTTAATTCATGAGAAGGCTCCAGGTGGGAAACAAGAAACACTGAGTGACGTGGAATTGAAGATTTCATCTATCGTTTTATCTACAAATAAATTCGGCGACTTCAGTCAATGTACCATTATATCGGAACGACCAGACCCAAAGTCGGAGGACATTGACAAACATTGTCGAACACTATGGGAGAAGTTTATTCATCAACCCCAAAGTGCACGTTGTCTTGTTTTCCTGGCCGTCTTGGGGATATTATGCCAACAAATGGAAGACGACTATCGAAAGACCATGAACTACTTTATCCGAACACTTGAGATTGACGTAAGAACTCTTCTAACACTTCTCTGATCTTCGTCGCTTATCCTAGAACAGAAACAGGTAATCTTCGATGACGAAAATATGCTCAAGGAGAAGGAATCATTGGGCCAGTTGAAACTCAGTTTATGGAGCCTAGAATCGTTAATAGAATTGCGAAATAGCCTCACAGATTCTATAGGGGTCATCAAGGAGGCAGCAACTGAAATGAGAAATCAGATTAGTAAGGTTGGTAACATGCTCGCGATGTTAACACTTTTCGCCTACGTTCCTAAGGAGGTGCCCAACCTAACTAATTCGCTTGTCATAGGGTCCAGGCAAAAGGGGTGAAATACTTGAAAAAATGTGTCAAGACTCCTTAGGGGATTTCTCAAGGAACTTGGGCCAGCTAGTCGCATTAAATGCGAGGCTTAATCAAATTGTCAATCTGAACTCCCGGTATAAAGACTACGTAAGTCTCAATACTTATATTGACCAGCTGTACAAAGATTCTCATCCAGATATAGCTCTCTACTATTTGGTCGTTGCGAGACAGCAGAAACTCGATCGATCAAAACTCAATTATCCAAAAGTTGACGTATTTGACTATCGGCTATCTACCCCTAGGTCTAATAACAGTAATTTCCCTTTCATGATGCGTTTACTATTCCAACTTACCATAGTCTAGGCTATTTTCGCAATCCCGCCCGATCAAAATGTACTTATTCCGGCGATGGGGCTACCGGGATTCGTCGTCGCTATTATCGTATCGTTTATCATAACGTTTACGATTGTATTCTCGTTGGAACGAATCTTGGGTGGAATAGGAAAGCTGACCATAGCACCATCGCAACCGCATGGCGGCAAAGATCCCCTGGCTTTACTATCAGGTCAATTGGACCACTTAATGGCTCTTTGCAATATGCCCCGAGAAAAACAGGGAGATGTAGAGCAGGCACGTGCGTCTGCCCACGCATCTGGATCAAACTCAACGGCGAGCACTGTTCAAGGCTCTGGTGTTACTCCTATTGAAGAATTGACTAATAGAAAACAATCTGGCAATTGGCTACTAACCAAGTTAAATAGGGGTAGGTAGTCACATCAAACTCATTGAATTGTTTGGATACCTCTTTTAGCTATCAACTAGAATGAGGCTATTCGGACCCCTATTCGACCCACTTTTCTAACCCCTTTAGTAGTTTATTTTAATTCTATTTGGTTAGTTTACAGTCGTATGATATACCCACCATGCTAGTTACTCAGTTGGGACTTTAGAATTTCCCTCATCTTGTTTATAGCTTCCTTCTCATGTTCCTCATAATCGATAGCATCGATAAACGCAAGCTTAGGAGCAAGTGCTCGTCTGAACTTGTCTGGCTCGGAGTGGCGCCCAAGGCATATTTCTCCAATTTCCCTGCTAGAATTGACAACCCTTTGCGATCTCTCCCGCCTAACGCTATCAAACGCTTTGAACGCAGCTTCGATTTCGTTAGGCGACGATATGTTATTAAATAGTGCCTTCAGAACCATGGCATCTTCGATTGATGTCCCGGCTCCAAACCCATGAAATGAACTTGTTGCATGAGCTGCATCGCCGATGATACAGATGCGTCCATTAGAGTAGGTAGGTGTCTCCCTATGCTCCCACTGTGAGTAGCCGTATGGCCTTTTGCAGTCTAGTATGAGCTACGAAGTCGTCACTTTGATTCGCGTAGGAGGGCTGTTAAATGGTATTATATAGGCAACTTACGTCTATCATACCCTTAGCAACAGGGTTACCAGCCCAATCACTCAATATTTCCATTAAGTATTCTCTAGTAAGATGATGTCTTCTGTCTTTTGGACTTTCTGCCTCGACGCTGCATATCATGCACTGTACCAAAGTTCGATCCTCCAGGACATCGTGCAAAATACACGAGCCACCACCAATCCATACGTATTGGCGATCCAACTCGAAGTTCTCCTCACCAAGTAGAGCTTTTGCTTTCTCATAGGGTTGTAGGACTCTGATATCCCAAAATCCGGATGGCTTAGCTGCGTATTTGTCAGCTACCGTATCCCCTAGGACATACTTGCGAACATTGCCAAATATTCCGTCCGCGCCGATAACTGCGTCGAACTGTCCCTTCGTGCCATCTTCGAAGTTAGCTTCCACGCCGTCACCGTTAGAGCTAATAGTAACCAGCTTTTTGCCGGTGTGGATAGTCTCTTCGGGGATCTGTGTGATAATTTCACTCAAGAGCCGTGAGCGACGTAAACACGCCGGGGCTGGTTCGGTAGTCCAGTTGTCGAAAATAACAGTGCCCATGTCTGGACCCAGCCCCTGAGTGGGGTTAGAACCGTCGGACTTTGAAATATATCTAGGAGGTAGACATTAATGAATTTACTTACCGAGATAAATCGAGATGACTTGTTAGGGACAGCACCAGCTCTACGTAGAAGCTCTTGTACCGAGGGAATGACTCGTTCGAAACTTCTTTGAGTGGTACTATTAAAGGTATAAGAACCACCATGATTCCCTGCAATATCTCGCGCTGCTTCGTATACTTGAGCATCAACATGTGGAATCTTGGTGAGGCCAGCGGCTAGAGTCATTCCCGCGAGGCCACCTCCAATTATAGCAATTCGAATAGTGGACTCCGCCATATTTAAATTGTGCAAAGAATAATTACCGGTGATTTGGAGTTTTCAATTATTACCTCTATTCTTATAAATAAGCTGAGGGCCAAGGTGGTTATATGACGATTAGAGGCAAAATACCCCCTCCCTACTTAACTATTGCTGCTTGCTCCGTATCTTCGAGAAAGTTACCTTGTGAGTCTCTCAATGCATACTAGCTTTATACTTTAGTGTCACCAGGTTTTGGTAATTGGATAAGCAAAAGATTTAGATACCAATACTTTGCGCCTATCAGTGGCGTTGATATCCTTGATGAGGATGATTCGTTGACTTTGTCTTACAACGGGACACGCGCGTACTTACTTGTTATAGATGAAAGTATTAAAACATGACAGCATGATAATAATCTGATCCATGGACTTAAATCTTGCTCTTCATGCATAATCCCTCAAATTGCCGTCATCTGGCAGTAAGGTATCTCGGTAGTCATTGTCGAAGAGTAAGGGCCTCGGCTCTGAAAAATATATTACTATAGGTTTTATAAGTAATTCGCCATATCAGGATGAAGTATGTTAATTGCACTGGCTCTTGTAGCTAGATTATAATTCCTCGCGTAACCGCAAAATATTTTCCATGCTGTTTAATTTCACTGGTCAACGTGATAAACCGGCATGAAAAGGGTCACTAGAAAGTGAATGATATTGTCAAAAAAGCTCGTGGTCTATGGATATGTAAACTCTAAGGTCGTAATGTAAATGAAGATCGCTCGTGAAGAAAGTAAATCTACTTAAAAGCATCGTCTAATAAACCTCAAGCACGTAACGCCCATCCTCCTTGAGACGGTCGATTTCCTTCGTCGCATCTACCTTCTTTCCGCTCATCTTAGCCTCAGCAGCAATAGCCTCCTTCAGTACGTCGGTGACATCGGGAACGGGCCACGTGGGACCGCAGAGGTAGAATGAGCCTTCCTGTTCTATGTATGCCTTGATGATGTCGCTAATAGTCTGGCGCATGCGGTCTTGAATGTAGATCTTCTGGGGCTGGTCACGAGAGAAGGCAGCGCCAAGAAGGGTGATAACACCCGCATCCAGATACGCCTCCCATTCCTCACCATAGAGATACTCCTCGCGCTGATGGCGGGAACCAAGATATAGGAGAATTGCGCCGATATCCTTGCCCTCAGCTTTTTGCATTGCGCGATATTGCACGAATGCTCTAAAGGGAGCAAGTCCAGTACCGAGGCCAGCCATAATGAGGGGCGCATCGTCACGTACTGGAAGCTTCATAACAGAGGGTTTGACAGATGCAGTAACGGCGGCTCCGACAGGAAGACCACTGAGATAGCGAGTCGCTTGACCGTAACGTGTTCGGCCTTTAGAATCAACCCAGTCCACGACTACAATCATGAGGGCAACTGCATTCGGTGTTACCGCTTGAGCAGAGGCGATCGAGTACTCGCGACGCTTTAGAGGCCCAACTAAACGAACGAGCTCAGGGAAGCTGGGGTGAGCGGATTTGAATTCATCAAATACGTCGGCAAAAGTACTGGTGTCGACCTCTGTTCGCCGTTTGAATTCTTCAGCACCTTCCGGAGTACCAAGAGAGGCCAATTTCTTTTTCTCGAGCTCGTCGGTAGCAAATTCGGCTAATGATTCGTAAAATCGCTTAGGAGGCTTGCCAAAAATGTCGATGTTCTGCACCAGCGATTGATAGACGGTCCTTGTCTCTAGAACACTAGGATCATCCCTCGAAGGTACCTGAACAAGGTCATCTGCACTCAAGCCGTAGGACTCGATGAACTCGCTGACCAGATCAGTATCATTGTCTGCATGTACTCCAAGAGCTTCTCCAATTTTGTACGTAAGACCAGAGTTTCCTAGATCAAATTCAATATGGAATATGTTTCGATCATAAGTCCCAGGTGTAAGCCTGCGATTCTCTTTAACGTGAATCGTGTATGTCTGGACAGTTAAGTCTGGTCGTAGAGAAATGTCGGTATTGTATGCCTCTTTGAAAACGAGACCCTTAGCAGCAGACTCCCAGCTGCTAAGCTGTAAATCTTGCTCCGACTCTTGCTTATCAAACGTAGCAAAGCTATTTGTCTTCAAGGCCTGGGGGAGAATTTGTGTTGCGTCATTGGCGTTCTCAGCCCAGGATTCTGGGACTTCGAGGTGTTTGAGAGACTTGTCTAAAGCATCAAGACATTCTTCTAGAGTAGGAAGATTAGCTTCAAGCGTAGCCAACTTCTCTAGAATTTCTTGTTTAAGGTCGGGTTTTGCGATCTTGAGGAAAGCGAGCTCAACCAATAGTCTCGCAGCATTGGAATCGGTCTCGAAAGCCGGAGACGAAGAAGAGTCCAGTACGTAAAGTGAGATGTTCCTCTCTTGCACATCCTTGCGAATAGTAGAGGGGATCCGCTTTTCGACATCTTCATCCTTGAAGTTGGGCAACTTGAGGATCAACTTGCCATTATCCTTGACGCTTTGGGACGCGGCCACATCCTTCAGCAGCTTCTCGTCGCCCACTAGAACGACGTCGGCGTCTTCAGCTGCGAAAGGCGCATCAATCGTGATTTTAGAGGTTCTAAGATCAGATCGAACAACACCACCTTGAACCAAATTATCGTGGGATTCGTTGAAATAGACATTAGTAGTGGAATCTCGCGACAAAAGGCTGCCAACGACAGTGGGGGCAATGAGAGCAACCGAATCATCGGTATCCCAAAATATGTACTGTTCTACAGACTCGAGCTGCGGCAACTGGATACTGGAAACCGGATTCTTAAGCGTAGCCTGAGTAACTGTGGCAGCAAAGCTAGACGGGGTAAACGCATGCGATGCTGCATACTTTACATCTGTCACAATAGGAGTCGAGTCCCATTTGCTCGAGAATGAAATTGCAGTCAAGACATCCGAATACAAGATAGATTGGACTGAAGCGTCGGACACGGCGGGTTCGTTCGGGACTTGTCCCAGAACTGCGACATGCGTTGTAGAAGCAGGGAGCACTTTGATAAAGGCCTCTTCGATGAAGGGCCTGTAAATTCGGACGATAACGGCTCCCACCTTGATTCCATCAGCTGCCAACTTGGGTATGACCTGCTTGGCAAGTTGAGCCTCGACGCTGCCGAAAACAACATAGACGGCTTCGGCGGCGTCGTGACCGACGTATTCGAACGGCTCGTAATCAGTGCCAAGCTCATCGTTAAAAGCCTGGAGGAGTTCTAAAACTTTACCAGCACTGTCGAGGCGGCTGTTCAAGGTTTCAGCCGTCTTAGAGATCTTCTTAAAGATATCGGCGGTACCGGTTTGGCTCAAAGCATCGATGACTCTCAATGTCTCACGGGATGTACGAACACCATCGTAAACATGAATAGTCGGTAATATCTTAGCCATCAACGTGGCAAAGAGCGAGATGTGCTGTGCCTCATATGCGGAACCACTTGATATAAGACCTAGTCCGAGCTCTTCGGAAAGTTGTAGGGCCGTGCCATATTCTGCAACAAGACCCGCATCGGCAACATAATCAGTAGCGGCTACATGGGCGACGAAGGGGCTCGCAACTCCATACAGTAAAGCCAACTGGTCTAAGGCCGAACGGAGATGGCGCAAACTAAGTGATGGTGCCAACAGAGTTTGAGGAATATTTCTCTTGCTTAAATCGAAGTCTTTCGAGAAGATATAACCAAGGGCAAAAGCGCCAGCGCCGGAACGAGTCTGAAGAGGCAAGACAGTAGTAGGATATCCATGAATGTTCTTCTCTCCAATTTGAGCCCAATCCTTCACGGCAACATCGAGGTCGAATGTCTCAGGGGAGTATGAGAAGATTTTATCGGACAAGGTGTAGGCAATTTGCTGAACGAGTAGTTGGCCGGTGACATACGTAGGGCCGGATATCGAAGACAAGGATACGGGTTGACCGAAAGGCAGAGTCGACGACTGCCGGGTGAACTCGGCGCGGGAGGTTTTAGATTCCGGCATTGTTACTTGATCTGCCAAAGGGCCACCACTACCTTCGGTTTGCTTTAATTGCATTCTAACCGGTTCTCTCGGGCTTTTTGGAAGCCAGAATTTGTAGGAATAGGAATTTGCAAATTCCTCCTGGAGACGAGGGTACAGTAAATTAGACCAGGCAAAACCGTCACGATTTGACTAAGATCGAGGAAATTCCCAGAGAATGGAAGGGTTATTAAAGAGGCTTATAATTCGAAATGGACAATCAGACAAAAACACTGATCGAAACCAAGACTAACCACTCTCTTTCTCAACGAAAAAAGTACGATGAATACTTGGCGTAGGGTACCAAATAAGCCTCACGACCAGCACAAAAAAAAGGAGACAACTTCGAAAAAGAGACGATGCGGTTTTATTACTTCTAAAAGTCCCCCACGGGAAAAAGTAAAGGCTTAACCTACCTCCACGCCAAATACGCTCCATACTTTTCTTGAACCCATTTTCGCTTCTTCGCCAACCAGCGGTTCTCGGTGGTGAACCGGGCGGCGAACATGCGGGTGTCGAGGGAAAAGATGGCGCGAATAATTTGTTAAATCGCATTTAGATTCCGAGAATGCGCGATTCGTCTTTGTACAAGACGATCACGCAATACAGATCTAAGCTTTAATTAGTTTAGCGCATATTCGCATGCCATATTCCACCATTGAGACGCCCTAATTGAACCCGGCAACTGCTAATGAGCTAAAACATGCCTTATCGATTACCGGTTCAACAGTGGTGTGGGTAGGGGTTTTGGTTCTAGAATTCTTCCTTTGGATCAGTACAAGCGAATAGCGATTGAATAGAAAAACTCAATTGATGGCAACATCATTTAGCGTTCCGACGTCATTCTAGGTTGAATAAACCATAACTCCGATTACCGCTCGATTGATATTTACCAGAGTTACCTTGTAAAAAGAGCCGGCAATAAGCCTTCAATAAATGTTATCAGAATTTCGTAGATCCATCAAGTAATTCAAGTAATTCAATAAAGTAGCCGCGATGACACTATTATTGTCAATTAAGGTCAGGATTTCGCAACCACGTTTGCAATAATAACTAACAGATACCTAAGGCATTTCAACCACATCTTTACAGTTTGCTCCCGTCCCTAATTTGCGTATACGCATAATGCCAACCTTCCCCCTTCATATCCTCTCTTACTTTGTAATTGTCTTCTGCAATCTTCAGAATATTCATATCCAGATCTACAATTGACATCCCTTCGGACCGGCCCATCTTCCCAAGAGAACCAATATGGGGAACACTGACTTGACTCAACCCCGCGAAGCTAGTCTTCTCCCCCTTTTCCGGCGGTCCCCCCGCATTCACAAACACGACCGCACAAGTGTTCTCAAATGCCCGACTGACAACAGTGCTGTTCAAGAATAGCGCCTCACCATCAGGATTGAGGGCATATCCCTCATCTGATACGTCTTTCATACTCCAAAACGTAGGCACGCAGATAATTTGCGCACCATCTGAGATTAGCTCCCGGAACGCCTCTGGGAACGCGATATCCCAGCAAATCAACAACCCCACACGTCCTAACGGCGTGTCGAACGCCTCATGCGGCTGCTTAGCTGACGACACTAGATGACGGCGTTCCGGATGCCACAGATTCTTCTTCTGGTATCGCCCGAGTATCTCTCCATTTGAAGATATGAAGTATGCAATATTATATAAAGAGTCGCCTTCCAACTCAACGATCGTACCAGGCACGATGCAGATACTCAGCTCTTTGGCCAGCCGCCGATACTTTTTCAAGTACGATGCCGAGTCTGCACATGAATCCTTAAAATTTGGCTCATCCGGAACCCAGGAGGTAAGGTGGTATTCGGGTAGAACAGCTAAACTGCATCCTTCCTTAGCAGCATATTTGATGAACGACTCAGCCTTGGCAAAGTTCTCTGCCGGGACGAGGGGCTATAAAAGAGTAAGCAATTAGGATCTTAACAAAAATTCGTATAAATATAACGCCACCTAGTTATAACACCTCTTATCTAAGACAATTATACTCATCCTCTATACGGGATCCATTTCAACTCCTGACAATTCTCGTTAAGACCGGAAGGATAGCATACCTTAGGATGCAGCTGTATGAGAGCTACTTTATGAACAGGAGCCATTTTCAGCTTTTATAATTCGCCTATTGCTGTTGCAGGTTTGGGTTTCCAGGTGCATTTAATTAGCGTTGTATGAAAGATGGAGATAAACCGCCTTTCGTTATAAAAGACCAAAATATCGAGATGTTATGTAATCACCACGTTTTATGAATAAACACCTAATATTTTAGGTATATATTCATACACTTCTCCCCCGTACGCATCTATCTCTTTGGCTTGTTTATTTCATAGTTACTTGACTCAGCAGTAACAAGAAACGGTTAATTACTAAGTAACTATTTCAATCATTATTTTTCTAGCTGCCACTTTGAATTTCTTCCGTTAAAAATCACCCTGTTTCGTCCCCCAAAACCGCTTATTAAAATATGCCAAGCCTTTATTATGAGACTACAAGGTGATTACGGCGCTGCTAACATACATCTTATTTGATTACATAAAACCTCAATTCAAGCTACTGCCTTATAGGAGACTTAATTCCTGCCTAGTATTTTTTCATATATGAGGGTATTGATCCTTCATCTAGGATGTCAAGTCCACCGGAATTTTTAGTTCCATTCTCAATTCTACTAGTTATTATAAATAAACAACTTTAATCACAACGATGTTGATATTTCCTCTAACTTTCACCCTATTCCTCTCCCTTTCCGCGGCTACTACCACCACAACCACCACCACCGGTATATGTTCACCTGTGACGTGGCAAGGCACCGGTTCCGCGACCTCTAAAACAGGCCCTCCTAGGCCCCAGCATACCCGTAGTGTAGTTCGTACTTCACCTATCAAACCCGGTGAAATCAACTGTCGCTATTGGGGCGGAACATACGATGAGGTCGATAAATCTACTTGTACGAAGCTAATCCGGAAATATCAAATCACCACAGAAAAGTTCTTCATTCTCAATCCAGAAATCGAACCGGATTGTGGAAACGTTCGGCCTTATACCGAGTATTGCGTTGCGGGGTGTAAGTGCTCGGCTTTAGGCTTTTGTAAAACGATGGAAACTGACCGAAGCAACCTTTTAGTCATTGAGCCAGTGCGAGCTGTAGACGGATTCTGCGGTCCGCCTCATAACAATGCCACTTGTCTCGGGATGGATCAAGGGCAGTGTTGCAATTCGGAGACCTGGACATGCGGCAATACTGAGTGTGTACATAATGATCTGGCGTGTCTATTCGTACCTGGGACATGATCGCTAACAGTACTTCCAGAGAAGATTGCGCTCCTGGTACCTGTTATGAAGGCGTTTGTTTTGGCGATAAGGTATATAGCACAGATGGAAAATGCGGTTACAAGCACGGTAATAAGCTATGTGCTGGAAAACAAGGTGACTGTTGCAGCTTAGATGGCGAATGTGGTACCGGCCCTAGTTTCTGTGGTGGTGGTGTTTGCCAGTCGGGTAACTGCACGAGGCTCCCTGATAGCCACTTACTTGGTCACAGTCTATTTATGTCAGGAATACCGTGGTTAACGGGAAACACGACAGACGGCGCATGCGGTGGTGAAAACAAGTATACTTGTAATGTGGTATATGGAAACTGCTGTAACAAAGATGGGCAATGCGGGTCTCTTCCCTCGGACTGTGGAGAAGGATGGTATGTCTCCTTTATAAAGGGCCTTCTCTTCTTTTTGGAGAAATGACTTGCCTTAAGACGATGCTAACCAGATATTGATAATAGTCAAGCTGAATTTGGAAAGTGTGACTCCGTAACGTCCAGTTCCTCGACTACTTCGCTTCCTAAGTCAACATCTGGGAATATCGTAGAGGAAATTTGAAACTCCAACGACACAGGTGCTTATTTAAATACGATAGAGCTAAAATTAAATATTAAATTCATGTAGAAATACGATTAATCATATAAGGTCACATAGATCTAAATGTATAATAGTGTTCAGCAAGGATCTAAGATCAAGCTCTACTATGTACGTACAGTTTGGATATCGCCACGTGAGCTCATTAGCCACGGATGCACGGATACGCGGATGCACGGAGGATACGTAGTCGTGTAATGTGGCAAACCCCGCCGAAGCGCCCACCACCAGCTGGATTTTCTTCTTGCGCGGGCGCGCCGCCGCGCAACGCTCAAGCAAAATTTCCGAGCCCTCCGAGTCCGAGTCCGAGTCCGAGTCATAATCCGGAAGTGACCCGTATACGCACTCCGGATTATCGGGATCCGCATGACGCTCACGGTACTCGAACTAGTCATTCTCCCCATTTATCAAGTTGGTAAACTCGCACTACGAAGGGACTCGATGGAGGAGGGTGTTTCTCTTGTATCAGGGGATGATATAGTTGGTACTAATAAGCGAACTCCAGCTTAAGGATACACTTTTATTCGTATGGGTTATCATAACCAAGCAGTATTCTCCTCAGTTACGTTTAGTACCTAGTCTTAGAGATAGGTATTAATTATGTTCTAGGAGAAACTACTGATATGAGCACCCAATAAACAGATTTTCTATCAGCCTATGCTGCATTGCTAGCCCAAAATTTGGTTGTAATACAATGAACCTCATTACTTGGCTCCTTTATCTAACCTTTGTCATTAATTTCAATTCCCAACATAATATTGTCAAGGACAAGTCATTGTTACACAACTATTGATTTAAATTCGTCGTGGTAGCATTAATCGTCGTAGGCTATTTAGTCAGGTTGGAGGAATCAGATAATTTAGAGAGGGCTCACAATTTATGGGATATGTGCATCTTTCTGTGGTATTTCATTTAGAAAGGCTACCTACTAGTCAACCACATGGCGCGAACAGGTACCTATCTACCTATGTATCTCTAGCTACCATCAATGCCCCAAGTCTGCCAGAACACTATATGAAACTATTCTTCATTTCGCCAAGTCATAACCCTTATCCTAAACAAATCCAGAGTGTCCAAGGCCATGACTAGGTCGTATAGTAGAGACAATAACCCTCCTAGTGATGTCAACTGTAAAGGCGATATCTCGAAGTATTCTCTACCAAAACAGTGGAATCTCTTGGGACCCGGACCGAGGGTGAATTTCTCACCCTCACCAACTTGATAGTTCTCTTCTGCGAAAGCTCGTAATCCCAAAAAGGAAGGAATAGTGCCATACCGCCAGGTGCCCTTGACAGTCTCAAGTTGTGCAGGTTCAACCACAACGTACAACACCAATATATCTGGAAAGGCGTTTATCATTTCATTGACGTAGTCAAGGTAGGATGAACTTGGCCTGCTAAACGGTATAGCGACATATCGGACTGCTGCCTGCCTGAGGAACCCGTAACGATGACTATGGCGCAGGACCATGCGACTCCAATAACCATCTAGAATGACGAGATCCGATGAGGCGTCGAGAGTGACACCAGGGAAGCCCTCTGTAGTGGGGTTGTATTGGGTTGGGCTCATTAAGACATTGTTTGGTCCCGTGTACTGCGTTCGCGAAACAGCTAATTCCAAGAGGTGAGTATGCTGGTGTCGTTTGCGATATCTGGTCACTGCCGCTCGTGACTCTCGGCAGGTGTGCAACAGCGTGTCTATATCGTTCCAAGGAGGCAACGTAGAAGGGTATTCATGTGTCGGACAGAGGCGTTTGAATATGATTTTTGAGTGATCAACTTCTGGGCCTGAATCCTCCTCTCTCGGATCTTTTATCTCCTCAATTCCAAGGAAGTAAGCGGTGGGTAGTGTTTCTTCGAGGACTATAGTCCAGATTTTGGCTTTGATCTCCCGTGGAAAGCGCGAAAAGAACGGGAAGGAGGCTTGAAGATCCATCTTGGCTATGAAAGATTCAGAATAGCGAAATATGCTTTTCGTTGAAGAGCTTCTTCGCCTTCTGGTTGCCGATAACGATGTCCTCGTAAACGCAAAGGTGATATTTGTTTACTTGGTTTCTCTACCCGTAATGGTAAACATACCCATGTTTGTTGATGTTGTTGTGACGATGAAGTAATGGCTCTTATTTTGTTTTTAAGAAATGTTGCCGTGTGCGTAATACGACGAGAGCGTAGAGATTGAGGCTTGGCACGCCCCAAAATAATGTTGTAAAGACGAGGAAATACGAGGAAAGCCTCGCAGGATGATGAAAGGAAAATATTTTATTTTACTTCGAGGTTTCTTAGCAACTTCCTTAGATGTTAGGAAGATATCCTAGGTACCTAGGTACGATAGTCAAAACAACTCATGTTACGTGACGCATGTATCCACATTCATGTAGTAGTATCACAGCTGGAAGCCACACGCAGTGAGGCAAGATCTCGATCAGGAAAGCACAAATGCGTACGTCCACGTAAGCCTCTTATTTATATAAAAGACCCCGACTTTCATACCTTCTGATTCTCTATGAAGAACATCTAGGAAAAGATTACGATATTAGGAGAAAATCATAATGCAAGCACTTACTACTATATTCACGGCGCCATCGTGGTGCTTGACAAGATTCGCCGTATATATCGACAACAATCCCTTCCATTCTAGTACCTTATCTCCTACAAGGGGATGGGTCGATCCGTCGTTCTCGAAATGTGTGCCAAGCCAGTATACCGATCAACTACAAACCCTTAGCCCCGGTATATGTCCGAATTATATGACCATTGCAAGATCAGTCCACAACGTAAACGATGGCAAAACATTATGGACTGGAGGATGTTGTCAAAGGTTCAGGCAATCTAATTCTTAAGGGATGGCGTATCTAACATGTAGTTGTAGCGGGTTCTCCGACATGTATGGGTATTTCTGTACCTCTACCGTCACTACGCCGATGGCCTTTCTTCTCTTGCCAAACATTACTACGACAGACATCTACACTACACTTTCCAATATGTGGATAGAACATGGGCAGATAACCGTTGAGTGGCAAGAGACAGATTTAAAGGATTTCCCAAAGGAAGTCATCACGAATTACGAGTCAATCATGGGAGTCACACTCGCTACTACTATAGAGGAAAGTTCTACCTCGACTAAAACTCATTCTGTTGGTGAGAGGACTTCAATAACGGTAGCGACGTCAACATCAGCTACCACCGCTTCTACCATTACCATTATTCCAATAGACACGTTTGAATCTACGAGTGGGCCAATCGAGACGCTTACTATAGCCTCCACACATACACCGTCGTCGTCTGTACCTTCAAGCGGCGATTTTAGGTATCCATGGCGGATTTTAGGGTTATTTGTTGTGTACCTAGTATGTGTCTGGATGTTTTAGCAGTTGAAAAACAAATGCGAGAGCGCGATAGTTGCAAATTGATAAACGTAAACGCCGACTTCGCAATGGCAATAACAGATAATCTAGCTAGTTCTCTTATTTCACATTATTTCACATTGCTTAAGTTTATTTCATCAATAAAATAGAATTTGACCTAACCCTAGGTAAGTTCTATATTAATTCTAACGATTTGTAGGTACGTATGAATTACACAGTGCGAAGTTAAAGGTGTCTTATCCTTCCCCCCTTTTCAAGTTCCCGTGTAAACAAAACACAGAATTTCAAACGCACACTTGACACAAATCACATTAACCTAATTTAAATTATCCCGTCGAGAAAATCCCTATAAGATGAAAAATATTATTTATAAGCTCACTGTGGGTCATTTAAAAGTGAAGGTTTGACACCTTGACTGCACTGGCAAAATAACACTACAATACTAAAATCATTAAAAATATTTCAAACGAATGGGATTAATCATATGAGTGAAAACAAGTATTTCTGTAATTAACTATATGGGGAGAATGCATGAATATTGTTCCAAGTTAATCACAATTCTGGATCCGGTTGCATATAGAAGGATTTACAATGCACGAAACCATAGAAAGTATGCAACGATAAGCGACGATTAAAACCTATACCTCCTCATTTAACATGCAGTCATCAAGGGAAAATGCATGTCATCCAAATACCCTCGTATTTGTTAGCAAATGACATAGATCTGCCAGTTGAATTTGCTACTATTGGTACAGACGCAGCAATTGCCACTACACCGAATAGCCAAGTACGCGCCTAGGAGACTGGAACCTCTTGGAAACTCTCCTCAGCTGCATCTTGGATTAATTGGCGTCTTTGGTATCCAATTAGAAACAGGAAATATACTACATGAAAATATTATCATGTGGGTGTTACAAAAGGACGGCATCTCACATCGGCTTTGGTACGAAAGATAGACTAAAAGTAACGAAATTGAAGGAATTAGAGGCGTAGCACATTATCAAAACAATTCAGACTTTCACGAGGATTGTAATCACACGTAGAATTCAGAGGTAATTCAGTAAATATCAAGCCTATCTTCTATCTTGGGTCAATTGGGTATATTTCTATTTATTTTTTCCGTCACTCGCGTGTAATTTTAGACCCAAAGACGAGGTAGGACCGCGCCCAACGACTCTTCGTAGTATTGTTGGGTGGTAGTAGAGGCCATCACGGCTCTCTAAATGAATCGGAACTGGCCGTTGTCGTTGCTGATTCGCTCTCCGAGGTTGACGTCGGCGCCAACCCAGTCGCCGTCGAGGTTCTGTAGCTCGGCTCGTAGGACCGGCACGCTGTCGCCTCCCTCGATCGAGAAGGATATGTCTCTGGCGGTCTCCGAGAAGTCTGTTATATTGGTAAGATGGGGAAGTCTGGTTAGGATATGCTTCGTTGCTACTTACTGACACCACCCCATTCGAAGCGGCCTATTGGAAACGTATTAGTACTGGAGTATTATAGAAGAGTAGTTTCAAGGTACTCACCATTGTCGTTTCCGATGAACTGGTTTAGATCGACCTCGCTGTCGATCTCACCACCGTCCTCGGCTCGGAGGCGGGCCCTGAGGATGTGGCCATCATCCACGCGGATGTCTTGGGAGGTGGTATAGAAGTTAGACATTTTGATGAAGTATTGATGAAGTTGTCTTGAAGAGGTAAGTCGGTATGGGGTTGGTGTTTAGTTTTTCGTATTCTCGAGCAAGACGCGGGGGAAGAGGTTTGCTTATATAGGGCTGCCTACTTGAGAGGTAGTCACTATGTATTATACGATGCTGTAACACAAAACTTCTTTGCTGTAAGCTCCAGCTGCCATGTAACTCTAAACGCGACTTACGTTAGAAGTGATGCAGACCCTCGTACACGTGTCACGGCAATGGGCCCCACAGGTAGCTCTCTTGTGGACTCGAGAGGGTCACCTTGAGAGGGGCACCTTCATAAAGCGGATATACGGCCATGGAGGTTTCACACCAATGCGGGTGGTGTCATTATTCGGTTACGGCACGGAACGGTGGATTTGATAGCTGCGGTTCCCACGTCCCACATTCCCACCTCCTCGTGAATGTACATCTCAGGGTTCTCATAGGCCCGACGCCAAGAGATTGGCACATAAACTTCCCATTAACTCCTCCCTCCATCCCATATCTTTATATCCACTACTTGATAGTTCATCTTTTGATCAACATAAGAGGTTGTATTTATTGAATTTTATCATTGCGGTGAATAATTAGATGATGTTGTTGTCACTATTGAACCAGCGGTCTGGATCTACTAGTCGTTATACTATAATTCTTAGGCGAATTGAGGGACTTTTTTTTCGAAACAATAGACCCCTTTCCCACCGCCCATTTAGCAAACAGCTAGAATCCACTCATGCTACCACACACATCGTATGCAGTACCACAGCCTTCGTAGTTCTTGAGGCGGGGTTTTCTCCTATGCGCTTCACGTCAAGCACCATAAGTTCGTAGCTAGAAGAAGTCACGGCATGATACGTGTCACATAGCTTAAGGTCTGGATTCTTTAGGACCCTTGTATTCATCTAGTTTTAATTATGCTCGGTCACCCAATCCCAACCTGAGAATCCATCAGCTCGCAAGATGCGGACCGTTCGATGGAAACCCTGAGCCCCGCGGTTGGTTTAATCCATGGTATGACATGCCACTGGGGTTGACGCTGTGGAAATATTCGTCATACCCAGCCAACCGGGACAAGACCCTTGTGAACATCCTAGTCATTGAGGTAGCCTACTTACGAGATGCACAAGCATGACTAACGATTTTTTCGAATCTAGAGACGACGGACGATGTTAAAAACACCAAATACACGCTTCGGGGATGTAAAAGACCTTTGAAATCCAGCGTGCCGGCATAGTAACAAAGATATGTTGTGTTTATATACCTATTAACTACGGTTAAATCCGAAGTCAAAGGGTAGACCACCCTCCAACCTAACGATACTCGAACGCAAGCCTTGAGGACTATAGCATCTTTTTCCTAACCCAATCTACCCCTCAATTTTATACTTCTCTAAACAAGTCATTACACAACAACTAGGTTTCCACGTTGTCAAGTGAATATACGTCTATTTATACTATCGGGAATTCAGATGAGACAACTGGACTTTCAGTTTGAATAACCGTAGGTCCTCCTAGTTATATGTGGTTAGAATTCCTCGTGTGGCAACGAAGTTATTTTCATGCCTTTTAGTTCTACCTCTTGATAGTTAGCTATAATTTATTTTCTCTTTGACGCGATTCTAACTATATTAATGTAAGATAAGCTTTGAAAGGAACTCACGATAGCACCTGATAACTGCAGGCAAAAGAGTAAAAAGATACTGTAGCACTGATACAATTACATAACCCTTGCTCATTCAAAAAATCAATTTGACACTAAAGAACCAATAAACAACAAAAATCACAATACTCCTTTCCAGAGAAATAGGTCAAAAACAAAAACGCCAGAAATAGTTAGGCCGAGGCTATCCCTTACGGCTCTAAAGTTCCATAGTTTCCATAGAAGACAACAAAGAAAGGCTCTAGAGCACTTGACCAAAGTCCTGGTGGGGGAAACCTAAGGATTCTCGCGCTTTGCGGACTGCGCCCTTGAACTTATCAAGAGGGATGCTCCTGTCTCCTTGGGGAAAGCTGATAACAGATTTTTTTCCATCGACACACCACGTCAGTTGCATTCCACCGCTTTTTTTCACCCAGACTTTATATAACGTAATGAATGATTCCTCATCCAGTAGGTCAAACAACAAATTGGATGTTTCTTCTGATTTAGCCATGCTCTCGGTAAGAACTTTCGCTGCGCCTTCGGTGTTCTCCGGATGGTTTAGCATAGCAATGAGTCCTTGAAGAATCTTTTTTGGCAACGCCGGCTGTACTGCTAGAAGAACTGATATACTAGTGTCGTGAATTTCCCCTTCGAATTCTATCCATTGGATTACTAGTTTTTCCAAAATATCCACCGGCAGAACGAACTGTTGCTTGGCCAAAGTTTCAACTACATCAGGAAAGCGGTATCTTCCTGGATGGTTAAATAGTTGTGCCACCTCCTTGAGAATATTCTCCGGTAGATGTCTTACTTCTTTCAAGCAGCTCATCACTTTAAGTTGGACGCGTTGGCTAGGATGGTCCAATAGCCGTATTATATCCGACAGGAGCTCAGGCATCATAACGAATTGTTCCACCAGTTTAACACTCAAAAAATCCGCGATATACTCATCACTTAATTCTCCATAGTGCCATATACACGAAATTATCTTGTGGAGGATTTCGCTAGGTAAGGATGCTTGACTACTCAATACCCGCATTGCAGTAGATTGAACATGTATGTTTTTGCAATCCAAAGCGATTGCTATTCTTTCAAGAGGTATTTTAGGCAATGTTTGACCATAGTTGCATAAAAAATTCTCCGCCAGTAACTGCAATTGTGCATCTTCAGCTTGCAATAAATCTACAAGCTCCTCAAGAATATTATTTGGTAGGGCTGACTGATGGAATAAGATGCGTTCTTGATCTTCTAAACGTGTCCTTGGATCTTTTAATTGGTCCCATAGTCTTTGCAAGATTTGTTCTGGTAGATGACTTTGAAAAAGTAAGATTTTGGTAGCAATCTCTCGCTTCCTTGAATTATCTAGTAAACTGTTTATTCTCTGAAGAATAGCCGTCGAGAAATTGGAACGATTCGACGCTAAGATACCAGCTGCGGCGGATTGCATGTCTGTTTCATTTTCATAATCGATCCTAGAATTGTTTATTTTGATGCCGTTGTATAGTAGCACATCGTCCGTGTCATAATTCTCTAAGCAATCTACCAATCTGTGGAGGATGCTTTCCGGTATATTTTCGATGAAATATAAAACAAGTCCTGCACTATTAGGCAGGCTGGGCTCCTGAAATATATCCATAATTTTATGAAGGAAATCTGGATCGTCCTCCGCCTCGTAACCACGAAAGGCATACACCACACCTTGGCGGACGTTTCTATTTGGGTCTTTCAACATGTTCAGTAGTCTTTCTGCAACTTTAGGCGCAATGCGGCCCGATTGTTTAGCTACTATCCACGGTCGAAATTCTTCTCTATACAGCTTCTTTCTCAATAGTTGTTTCAATTGCATCCATTGTTGAATTGAATCCAATATCTTTAGAACAATCTCTTCTGATAGATCGAGTTGTCTTTCGAATACACTCATCATTTCTTTCATATTCTCCTCATTTAGATCTGGTATCATGGCAATCATGTCCAGGAGAGTCCTCTTTGGTAAGGTTTCAATCTGTTTCAAGATTTTAAGTGCGATAGACCGTATGTATGTATTCTCTTGTTTCATGCGCGGCATTAACTGTAGGAGAATTACGTTTGCATAGTCTGGTAGCCTTTTTTTTAATATGAGAAACGCTTCATGTTGGACATATTCGTCGGAATCCCAAATTAGGTTCGTTATCGTATGAAAATGCTTATCCGGCAATGAATCCTTGTAAGATGAGAGCACTCTAAGAGCGGAGATCTTCATATCCAGGTTGCTACCTTCACAGTACTTCATAACTTCGTTAACCGTATTTAATGAGACTCTGGAATATGATTCCAGCATAAATAGAATGTTGCCTTGCAATCGCTCATCATTCGTCTCTGACAAGCATTGTTGCAATATCCTTTCTGGATATGCGAAATCAAGGTCCCATTTAATATAATCCTCTTGCCACTTCAGTCCAAACAGTAGCCACTGCTTTAAATAATTTTCTAAATCAGCCCAAAACTTGAGATCCGCCGTCTTCTGTAGTTCTACAACTTCTTCCAGGCAACGATTAACAAGACGTTGATGTGCGGATCCAAGGAGGTCATATGGCTCTTTCTCGATCGTCTCAAAGAACCTTTTTGCGTCCCCCTTGGCGTGAAGCAGGCCGACTACAAAGCGCCACATGATGTCAAAACGCGGGTTGTATTTCTCTCTCCTGAGAAACTCGTCGGCGCTTACTCCCAACTGCGGTAACTGCTTGTCCGGCCAGTGCTGCACAAAGTATTGCGCTGCAAAGTACTCTTGGAAGGTCAGATGTAAAAAGTGGTAGCTGCTATTCTTAGCTGCGCTGCGGCCATCAGAAGTACGAAGGAATGAAAATTCCTTGAAGTTCATTAGCCTTGCCTGATATTTCGGTTTGGCGAGGTATTTCGTTAGGTCATCCTGTCTATCCGAGAACTTTTCCCTGTATCTCTGGCCGAATTCTTCCATATTTGTATTCATTGCATCAAATGCAAGGGCCTGTAGCGCGTTGACTTCCCCTTGGATCAAATCCCGAGTTTCCCTCAAAGTTAGCTGCAAGGCCACCTCCTTGGTAATCGTCTCAAGGCGGTCTTGGAATCTCCTTTCTAACCTAACCACATCCTTCTTCCATATAATACTTTCGGTGGCATTATAGAGTTGGGTCATAGTTTGCGGTCTTTCGCCTTCATCCAAAGCTCCTTTTTCGAAGCTATAACAGAAGGCATCGAGCTGTATTGGGATTCTTGCCAGCTCTTCAACTGTTGGGTGGCTGCTTAGAAAAGACTGGATCGTTTTGGCATTATTCGAAGCCACGGCTTCGATGTACTGTCCCACTTGCCCAGCATAGAATCCAACAGTCTCAAATTCCCGATCAATATTTCCAATCGCGGTTTGGCGAACAGCGTAAGGTCGCGTGGTAATAATAACACGAGGCTGATGCAGAAGTGATAGTAGCAATTCGGACTCTCCCGAAGATATTTCTTGTAATACTTCGTCTAAACCATCAAGAATAAAGAGGGTCCTGCTCCCCTCTTTGGATATTTCATCATAGAGTGCCTCAGCAAGAAGCTCCTTATCCTGCGGGTTATTACTGAAATAACGCTCGGATAAGAGACGTTGAATGTTATACTTCTGTATGTCTTGGCCTTTAAGTTGACGTAAAGGTAACCAGATGATTCGATTAATGATTTCAGACCACATGTCGTTGTAAATGTGGTCATAAACGATCTTCTTGCAAAGAGTGCTCTTGCCCACCCCAGCCTGCCCACGAATGAGCACACGTTGGTAGTCAACTGGATTTTCTAAGAAGATTGTTAACAAAAAGACCACTAAACATTCATATAAGGGGGTAGTAATCAGTGATGCGAAACAAGAAACCCACCTTTCTCGGCGTCCTTTTTCGGCCTGAAGAGGTCCTCTAGCGAGACACGATCCGACTCCTCTGGTTCCCAAATGGCTAGGCGGCGATGGAATGGCAATGAAGACGGTTCAATACTTTTATTTTCATTCTCCTCGTGTTGCACAATGGCTAAGTTGATGTAGCACTTGTCCATAGGCAACCTCTCGTTATTACCAAGTCGTTCGATATTGAGCCGCCCGAGTTCCTCATTGGTATAGTAGTATCGTATGATTTGATCAGCGTAGAATACCTTAGCTTCATGGCAAATAGGCCATGCCTTCTCCAGCAGCACATTTCCTGGTATTTGGGATGGCACTTTCTGGTATTCCACAGTATTAGAGTGTTCCCGTGAGCGGTGTAGTCTAGAGAACAGTTTCTTAAGTATAGAGAGCAGTCGGTTGGTCCTAGAGGGTTTCGTTGGCTTCGCAGGCCCAACTATCAAATTGACCCATTCGCGAACGCGCCTAGACTTGGATATGGCGCGTTGGTCGGTCAAGAACTCCCTTAGGACTTTAATGGTTTTGCTATCTGATTTATCGTGGATGGCCTGTTCTAGAAGTGCACAGAGCCCGCATAAAAAGTTTTCGTCTTTCCCCAATGACGGTTTAAGGTTCTTAAGTAAAGATCCAAGGAGGGCGTCCCTTCGTCCCTGTATTACCAAGTCCGTATAGCGAAGCGCTACATACCATCCCCTTGGGCTTAGGTTTTGAATATCCTTATTCATGTCGTTTATGTTATTGAGCTCATCAATGATGTCTGTGATCAGCTTTACCATGTTCGCTACTTCGCCTAGTGCTTCCAAGCCTTCCAGTAATTTGTTGGGATCCAAGGTTCCGACGGAGCCAGCAATTGTGGCGCCGCCTCTGATTACGTTCCATGCACTCTTTCCGAGTTTTTCCCACGGGCTAACATCGCTGTGGATGCCGCGCAAGGCCTGTTTTGCATATCGCGCTGCCTGAGAAAGACGCAATTCGGGGTGTCTGATCGCATTTTCTAGCAGGTCGAATAGGGGCTGCATTATTTGGGTGTCGCTGATGCCTTCGAATTTAACTTCGTTCATGACATCTAAAATCGTCGACAACGTGCGCAGTAATTCATATTGGGCCATATCATTAGCTGCCGAACAAGCTGTCGTGAGCCGGTTCGTAAGGGACTGAATAGCATATCCAAGAGGGAGCTTCTTTCCAATATGCTCGATCTGAGTTGATTGTAGCATAATGCTAAAGGAATCTAAAACGTTGATGTCCGGAATACTGCTTCCGATTGAATCGGCTGCAATCAAATTGACAAAGGCATTGAACAAAACGAGATAGTTCTCATCGTTGCAAAATGGGGATAATAAGGCAGCCTCGACAGCGTATGATCGTTCTGGATGATTGTAAAACTCTTGTATCATAGAGTACGATAATGAACGAAGTGCTTTAGCTTCTCGATCGTGTTCTGAGGTCGGCCTCTGCCTTGCAATCGTCGGGTCGTTATCCAAGCCGAGTTCTAGTCTCTTTAAACTCTCAACAAGTTTCTCCGTTGTTCTTGGTCTAGATAAGAGCTTCATGGTCGTCGTACTAGTATTCAGCTAAAGTGAACGATGCAAAATATAGTAAATTCCCGATGATTTAGACGATCGAAAGACTAAAACTACCTAATTTAGACGGCAGGGGAGTTGGAAAACGTCTTAAGGCACCAAACTTGACCCCAATTTCAGCCTTAACCGACAATATGCAGTGTCACCATAAACTAACAAATGCGATCGTGCCGCGTGGGCGTCCACGGATGAATATGGGTGGCATATAATAAAGGTTACTTGTTGAACTATCAAATGAATGTGCTCAGTATGAAGAAAATTCTACGCATAGCTAGCTACCTTTCACAACCTCCGCCAATTGTGTTGTTCTATACCACCCTATCATCAAATCCTTCTCGGGTCTGCCCGTTCCTACTCGTCCCTAAGATATCCATCTACATAATTTGTCTATCCCTATACAACCCAAGTCATGTTCGCACCCAAATAAACAAACTGAAATACCACTTTCCTATCTACGGCACGTAAAAGGTGAAGTGAAGGCAATTGTTCTTACTGGCCACATCCGGCACTCCACTCCCCCCCTTAATGTAAGCCTTCCCATGTCCAAGCTTCTTGTACGCCCAATCGATAGCAGCCTGGTTTCCCGGGCCCTTCCAGTTGCCCTCGGTGCTAGCAAGGGTCTTCTCGCCGCTAGGCTTCTTGTCGAGCGCAGCCGCCGGCGCGTCTTTAAGGATGTCCTGGGTAAACCCGTTCGACACGTTAGTACCGTCCGTCGAAGCGACGGTAGCAGCGCCGTCGCATCCCTGCTGAATCGAGATGTCGCCGTGCGCACGCCCGTCGTCGGCGGCTTTGACTTGGAACTCGCCCCACGTCGCGGGCTGCTGGTCTCCGCGCTGCACGCGGCCCTTGAACTCGAGCTTCAGGGGCACGTGGACGGTTCGGTTTGGCCCCACTTCGACGTTCGTCAGCGGGTGGTCGAAGTTAGCGCCAGCCTTGCCGTCGCCGTTCCAGTAGTTTTCGTAGAAAAAGTATTTGTGCGTTTTGCTGGAGTGATTGGTTAGGAGAATCCCCGGGCCGGAGGAGCTGGCGGTTATGGACTGTTCAGCTAATCCTTCAGGGGCTGCGGCAAACGATACAAAGGCGGCCGCTTCAACGGACTGGCCGGTGAATGGCTTTGTAGGGTCAGGGGCAGCGTTATGATCCTACTGAATGTCAGCAAATGATTAATAACATGCATTTTTTATCATGATATAGGCATACACTATAAACAATTAGAATATCTTTGCTGCCTTTGCCGGCCTTGCTCTGCTCATTATCGGCAGGGTTGCCATTGCTGGGGCCCCTATATAACTGTTAGAAATAGGTTCACATTATAGTAAATAGAATAAAACTTACCATGCGCCAACACCGATATAAGTTCGGCCGTTGGCAAAGGTCCTCACGAACTCTTCTAGCGGCTGGAAGTCCTTCGGAGCCCCGATGCGTTTGACGTTGCCATTACCATCGAGGAAGACATGACCTTTAAGCTGGTTCTTCTTATCCTGAGAGAGCTTGTGGTAGGCCGTATTGCAAGCCTGCATGAAGGTCTCGTGGCCTTTGAATTTCCCAGCTGGGTCACCGACCTGTTGGCAAGTCATGTTGCCACCAGCGCCGCAGATGTTGCTAATATCGATGGTGTCGTTTCCCATCCAGCCGTGCTTGGTTATCTCACATTGCTCGCCGATGGCACCCTCATGGACGGCGATGATGGCTCCAGAAGAGCCATCGGGGGCCTCAAGCTTGGCTTGTCCATTGGCTTTGATCTTTAGATCCTGATTTCCATTGTAACCATGACACTGGAAAGTCTGTTCGTGGTTGGATCTGTTGTGAATGTTGAGGAAATGCATATTGATTAGAGTATTGCTTGGAGTTATTGTTTTCTAGGCTTAGTTGTTTTGTCTTGATGCTATGAAGATGCGTTCGTGAAGCCAGAAGGGAGATATGGGATAATTTATACTCCAATGGCCATCGGTTCCCTACACTCATCCCCTACATTCGCCAGCCTTCTGAGGCTAAAAATATCAAATTCGTAGAACATGATCAACCTTTGGACAGGTTCATATTACGAGATCGGCTGTGAGTTAGACTAATCGGACTCTGCCTTAACAGCCATAGCGTAGAGACGAAGTCTTATGCTAAACACTATATTGTCATATGAATATCTTTCGTAGTCATACGATCCGATACTATGGCGAGGTTAGGACTTGAAGGCTTTGCCGCGAAGTAATGTTGGTGAGACCTAAGTTATTATGATGTAATTGGCCAATATTGTTACTCTAATCAACCAACAAGAGTTGTAACCTAAAATGGTTAACGAGGTTATACAATACAAATAAAGCTCTCTGATTTTGCATAGCCTTGCATTCGCTAAGGGGTGGCTGAGAATAAAACATGCCGTACATTTTTGTCAGTCTCGTGCTGATCCTACTTTCCAAACTGTTATACATAGAAACTAGAACTATTGAATATTCAATAATCAGCTGACAGAAAAGGACTTTTGCGCTTCTCATCTTCTCATTACTTCAATGCCAAGTATTACGTCAACTTAACCAATTACTCTTAACTAGACTGACTTGAGTCAAGTTACTTATCCAGTATGCTTTTATTGACTGGTGAGATTTAAGAGATACACTATTATCGAAGTCAGCATGATCATACCTCGGACTGACAACTCAATACAAATCTTACAACCAAATGGAGCATAAAGAATATGTATACATATAAGCCTCAGTTACGTTAGATCATCTAATATAGGACTATTCCAAATTTTAAACAGACTTGTCTAACCAACAAACCAATACAACTAATTAAGCAGTGTAAACTAACTCAATAATTGATTAACTTAGAAAATACCCGGTAGGGGTACCCTCGGTATTTTTCTTTATGTCAGCTTGAGGTGTGTCTCCGCCTCACCTCAGCCCATTGTAGGGGCTCATCATGAGGTGGTGTGGTAACCTCTTTACTGAAAGTTAGATATATATAATGCCTTCTTCATAGCTATTTCCTCTATCACAATAAGTAACATCAGGATCAGAACAACTTGAATCCCCTAAAATTTCCGAACTCCTCATTTTCACAACAGTTTTTACATCTACCAATTTTTGAAAATGGTTATCAAGAAGCGTCAGATTCTCTGGGACTGGACCAACACCGGTGGTGATGGACACCCAGGCGTCCCTGATAAGATCAACCAAGTACCTTTCGGTGGTAACAGCCCAGTTGCCTCCGTGGTGAACTGGAATACGTGGGTACCCCCTGAGCTCAAGGATCGAGTACCATTCCGGCCTATGGTCCGTGTTCTCGAGAGCACGAAAGGCGGAGAATGGGCTCAGATACAGAATACAAAGTACCCTATTATCCTTTATTTCAACGAGCCTGAGCGCGCCAATATAAGCCCAGAGCAGGCAAGGGATATCTGGTATGGCCAGATGCTCCCCCTGAGGAAGAATAAGGGGAAGCAACTCGGTTCTCCGGCTGTTGCCTCTGTATGTACCCAAGCCTATTTACTATATTGATAATTAATTGAACTAATATCTCTTAGGATGACAACGGTCGGAAGTGGATCGAAAAGTTTATGTCGCTTGTGTCAAAAGATCCTCCTGACTTTCTGTGCTTGCACTACTACTCAAAGAATGCCAATGATGCCATCAAGTATATCCAGGACATGCATAACAAGTGGCCTAAGCATAAAGTCGTAAGTCCAAGATTACCTATCGAACGTGAATTTTCTTCCACTACTAACACGTTTGAAGATGGTTACCGAAATCGCATGCATCGACCGCAACTACCAGGCCGTCGTAGACTTCACTGTCCATATCTGCAACTGGCTAGACAGCCAGAGCTGGGTCTTCGAATACGGTCTCTTCGATTTCCAGCGTAATGTTGCCGACGGCTTTGTTAGCCCTGCTGCCCAGCTCATGGATGCAAACGGCAACTTTACAGAGCTAGGTAAGATGTATGTTCATCAGCAGCCCATGAAGGCACCCGGTGTTGCTACCAATGCCTTCATTTCATTGAACGCCATCGAGGAGAATGATTCGCAAGTTGATGCGAGCGATGATGCGAAAACCGGGGAGCCGTTATCTCACGAATCCAACGGTGAGACCACCGAAGCCCCCGAAGTCGCGGAAAATGGTGAACTGGTCCAGTTTAGCATCGCTGCAGCTCTCGGCCCAGATCAACAAAAAGCTCTAGATATCCACAATAACAAGCGCAAGGGCAAGGGGCTCAAGCCCCTCGCATGGGATAACCAACTTGCCAAAAACGCCGAGAATTACGCAAAGCATCTCGCTCAGATTGGCAAATTGCAACACTCGAGTGGTGACCAGCGACCCAACCAGGGTGAAAATCTTGCATGGTAAGATAATGAGCTCATGTAATGAAAATATGAGCATAGTCTAACTCGGACATCTCTGCAGGGCTTCCAGCTCCAGCACACCTCTCGCCATGTCTGCAAACCTGTGGATTGCCGAAGAAAAGAACTACCACGGTGAGCCGATCGGTCAGGGCGATTTCGGATCATACGGTCATTACAGTGAGTCGTCGTCTTCAACCATGTCGCCGTCTTCGCAAGTCTTCTAACACAATTTTTCCACCATTTAGCTCAATGTATGTGGAAATCGACTACCAAGGTCGGAATGGGCTCGGCTAAGGACGCCAAAGGTGGTGTTTATGTCGTCGGGAGATATTCTCCTCCCGGAAACTTCACCGGTCAGAAACCGTACTAATATCTTCATCGGTCGTTTGTTTTCTTGGCTCGGGAGTTGCCTTGTGGATCTCGGTAGATTGGGCGGGTTTATTGAATTGTTCCAGAGAGGAGGTTTAGCGTCTTTTTTGTAGATAGATCTAGGGACACTCGTTATGTTGACCTATATGGTTATGTACTTTGTTATATAGATATTATTTTTATAGTTATCATGTTTTTTCTCTTAACTAATTATTAACTAGGTGAATAAGAAGTCTAATAACAATATAAGCCAAGTATAATATAATGTCACATGTAGACTCCGTCTCTTTGGAAATATCAATGATGCACAATTAACACTCGGACACAAAGATGAATTAAGCTTCATTAGCTTCGTATAAGCAATTTCGGCACTCCAACTCTTGGCAGTCTTATTGCGTATATAGTTGGGGTAAACTGACGATCCAAAGTGCGGGGTGCATGGGTTGACCTTGACCGAAGCAGGACGTGAATGGCATGTATGAGTTCTATTGTATAGCGGTGTATACACATTTTACTTACTTAATCAACTACCAAGGGACAATCTGTTGTTGACATATCTTAACTACATCCTACAGTATAGAGATTTGACTGAAAACTTCTATAGTTACTGGGTGGTTACCAATCACCGCTTCCATCTCAACTGACTTATACGGCCTCGGCCTCGGCTCCCATAGGTTACCATTAATTTACTAAAATATTTCTACATTTTCCTTTGATATACTTCCCCCTACCTCCAAGACACTCCCCACATTCCCCAAACTCTTTCGTCATTAACACTACTTACCCCTGTTGCTCCCTCGCTCGTCCATGTAAGTCGCCATCCGGGTGCGGTAATGCCTGCATTACCGGCTGATATTAGGGAGAAGGACCGATTCGTTTCTTTGGTCTCGATGACCCCTCACGGCAATACTAGAGTTAAAAATGAATGTTTCGTCTATATGGTGTGCCACTCCTTTAGATCTAGATGACTATGCATTCTCGATAACTTGTACTGTATTATCGAGTGTGTACACCATGTTGTCGACTTCTCTGTATGCCCTGGCCGGACTAGCCACGTGGGGTAGCGGTATTGGTACTGTTGCCCAGTCCATCGTTGCGGATGACACGACATTCTATGGACAATCACCTCCAGTATACCCATCACGTACGTAAAGCATCACCCTAAGAGAGTCCGAGCATATACTTACAGGTTTAAAGCCAATGGAACCGGACTTGGAGATTGGGCAGACTCCTATTCAAAAGCTCGAGCCCTTGTGGCTCAGTTAACCCTAGAAGAAAAGGTTGGGGTAATCCAGAGCGACTTGAACGACCACTATATCTAACTTGGTATACAGGTCAACCTTACCGGCGGCGTTGAAGTTAATAGCTCATGTTCTGGTATTATCCTTCCTATAGAGAGAGTCAACTTTACCGGCCTCTGTCTCAGCGATGCTGGTAATGGAGTGCGCACTACCAACTTCGCCTCAAGTTGGGCTTCGGGCCTTTCGGTTGGTGCAAGGTAGATACATCCTATTTATTCTATGAAATTATTTTGACTAACCTTTCTACTCAGCTGGAACCGCGAATTGGCTCATAAGAGAGCCGTTGGCATGGCTGGCGAATTCCGAGCGAAAGGGGTCCACATTGCTTTAGGACCCGTCGTCGGCCCCTTAGGCCGTATCGCATCAAGTGGAAGGAATTGGGAAGGTAACGCATTGCATTATTTACTTTACTTAACCAATACCCTTGTGTATTAATTTCTATATAGGCTTCGCCAATGACCCTTATCTGTGTGGTGCTCTAGCCGCCGACACTATTAAGGGCATACAGTCGGTGGGAGTCGCGACAAGCACAAAGGTAGAGAGTACAGCTGATCTTTCTTGGCGATAGCGGCTAACCTATCTTCTTAGCATTTCATCGCCAATGAGCAGGAGACTAATAGAAACCCTGAGGGTAACGTCACCGCTGTCTCATCGAACATTGACGACAAGACCATGCATGAATTATATCTCTGGTACGTATGACGGTATAATTATATGGATATCCAAATCTAATTTTTGAATAGGCCTTTCCAAGATGCCGTAAAGGCTGGTACCGTAAACGTAATGTGCTCATATAACCGAATCAACAATAGTTATGGGTGCGGCAACAGTAAGACGCAAAACGGACTTCTGAAGACTGAACTGGGATTCCAGGTATGGAATATACAATTAATTTTCGCAACATAATTATCTAACCAAATCAATAGGGCTTCATCGTTTCAGACTGGTGGGCTCAGCATTCGGGTGTTTCTACAGCACTTGCAGGTCTAGATATGACGATGCCGTACGCCTCGCCATATTGGTCTAGCAATCTAACACAAGCTGTGAAAAACGGATCTGTTCCGGAATCTAGAATAGACGACATGGCAACAAGGTAAGTCTGTCTTGAACACTCTGATACCACTTCCTTCTAATTAGCGTAGAATTTTAGCTACATGGTATAAATTAGGCCAGGATGAAGGCTTTCCGGCTATGGGCCAAGGGATGCCGTACGACCTCTCGAGGCCTCATCAGCGAGTTATCGCAAAGTCGGCAAGCAATAAGGATATTTTACTACAAGGAGCTGTCGAAGGCCATGTCTTGTTGAAAAATACTAATAATGCGCTACCACTCAAGTCGCCCAAATTAATCTCCTTGTTTGGATACTCTGCGAAATCATTCGACGTATATACTCCAGGGGGTGGTGGCTGGAACGCAGGCTCACAGGCATTAGCTCCAGCTGACTTGATTCCAAATGGCGACGATGTAATTCATACTCAAATTGCTGCTAATGGTACGCTGATCAGTGGTGGTGGATCTGGCGCAAACATGCCAGCCTATGTCAGTTCTCCCGCGGCGGCATTGAGTCAGCGTGCTTATGAGGACGATACAAGCCTATGGTGGGACTTCCACAGCGGGAACCCTCAAGTCGACCAGTCTTCAGATGCTTGTATCGTTGTTGGTAATGCTTATGCGTCAGAAGGCTTTGATAGGCCTGGGCTGCATGACGATTTCACGGACGCTCTCATCACCAATGTCGCGTCTCAATGCAGCAACACCATTGTGGTGTTTCACAACGCAGGTGTTCGCCTTGTCGACCAGTTCATAGACCATCCTAATGTAACAGCCCTCATCTTCGCGCATCTTCCCGGACAAGACTCTGGTAGAGCTTTGACTTCTATCCTCTACGGCGATGTCAGTCCTTCAGGCAAATTGCCGTATTCAGTGCCGCGCAACGAGTCAGACTACGGCCCAGTTCAAAATGCGACGTCTCCCGACGGTATATATGAACTATTCCCGCAGTCCGACTTCACGGAGGGCATCTACATCGACTACAGGGCCTTTGATGCCAAGAATATAACTCCCCGCTACGAGTTTGGTTTTGGCCTAAGTTATACCACCTTCAACTTCTCAGACCTCATAGTTTCTACAGTCGATGACGCTGATACGTCATCGTACCCCTCAAAGCCGATCGTCGAAGGTGGCCATGAAGACCTCTGGGACATCGTAGCCAAGGTCTCCGCGACAGTGGCTAACTCAGGTTCCGTGGTGGGTGCCGAGGTCGCGCAACTCTACATCGGTATCCCTAACGGCCCCGTAAAGCAGCTACGCGGGTTCTCAAAATCAGTACTTGAACCTGGAGAATCAGTAGTTGTCGATTTTGAGTTAACAAGAAGAGATCTGAGCACGTGGGATGTAGTCGCACAGAAATGGCTCTTACAGAAAGGCGACTATGGAGTCTTTGTCGGATCTAGTAGCCGAGCGTTACCTTTGACTGGGACTTTTTCGATCTAATACCATTACTTAAATAATCCCCAGGAGCATTTAAGCACTTTACATGCCAGTCAATCTGTTAAGGAAAGGGTATGTGGACGAAGTTGAGTTAAATCTCTGTCTTTTAAATGTTAAATTAGGAGGTATCTTTGGCAAATAAGCAGTTAGCTCTTCCAGCTAAGCAATCAAATGAATAATTAATTAACTTAATTTACTCTATATTTATGATGTTTGAATAACCAACTCTATGACCTCTTTTACTTATATCATGAGATAAGACAGAAAAGTGACAACCAACCTCATACATTAGAAACAAACCCCCTGGCCTTCCAATATTAAACCACGTAACTATTATAGTACTTCAAGTAAGGTTGACTCCACCAATCAGCGTCTCTTCAAGACTCAATTGAAGAGTTTCTGGCCAGGGTTCTAACCAATAAGAATGTGCCTTTTTATCGAATCCAGTAAACACTTACATAAACACCTATGCACGTAATTTCTTAGCATTTCCAACTATAGAACCTATGAGGTTAGGCAAGCAAGCAAGCAAGCATGATTTGGTCCACTTATACCGGATTCCTAGGTCCCCGATTCTTCGTTCCGAAATATCCGTAACTGATACCGCCATAACTTTGGAAACTCATATTTTCCTAAGAGACAGGTTCGCTTAGGTACCTATGGATTCATCAAAAATGGCTACGCCGCAGAACCTTCCAAGACCGCCAGGGGATGCTGAAAACCTACTAGGGAAGGACTCCTCGTCGTGGTACATATTCGTGCCCACTGCCGTCTTGGTCTACTTGTCGCTAGTGCAGCTTCTACGATTTCGCGCGGTCCGGGCCCTGGAGCGCAAGTATGCCGCTTACGTCGCGGACCCGTATAAGCTAAACTACCGACAGGCGGCCGAAATCATGCGTCTACATCAGCTCTACGACACGCCTTTCCTCTTCTACTTCGGCACCCAATGGGCCCTCGTCAAGAGCTACGGTATGTCCACCGGCACACCCCTCCTCGTCCGCACGCGGCAGCTCTGCGACCCCACCCGCGTCGGCCGACGAGCCGAAGACACGGCTATCCTATTAGTCGAATTGCTCCTCGGGGATATCGACTCCGAACGAGGCCGCAGAGCTACGGCTCGTTTAAATTGGATCCACGGACTGTATTCTAAGCACATCATGGAGTACGATTATGTACACACGCTGGCGCTATTTGTTCTCGAGCCCGCGCGCTGGATCGATAGGTACGACTGGCGGCCCTTGACGCGGCTCGAGAAGGTCGCGTATTTCGTGTACTGGCGGGAACTTGCCCGGCGCATGGGGTTCGGGGAGCTTGTCCCGGAGACGCTGGAGGGGCTTGAGGAGTGGAAGGTGAAGTATGAGGATGAACATATGTATTTTATCCCTGAGAACTATATGGTAGCAACAGCAACGGTGGACTTGTTCATGCGGACGATTCCGCGTTTCTTGCATGGCGTTGTGCGAGCTCTTTTCTTGTCGTTTATCGACGAGAAGCCAGTCCGTGATGCTCTCGGTTTCCCGGATCCGTCTTCGTGGGCGATGGCGCTAACGGCGGGGTTCTTCCAGCTACGCAAATTCGCATTGCGTTACTTGTTCCTCCCGCGCATGGCGCCGATAGATCCCATGGCACGGCCCGGCGAGGACGGCCGGTTGTATCGCGATGCGTGGTGGGTCGGCTTTGAGCCATGGTATGTTGCCGATACGTGGTATAACCGGCTTGTGCTATGGCTGACGTCGGGTGGCAAAACGGCGCCCGGGGGTAAATACGAGGGCAGGGGATATGTCCCGGAAGAATTGGGACCGGTCGAGTTTGAGAAGTCGGGGAAGGAAGAAGTATTACTTGAGGCGGAGATGATGAAAAGGTATGCGATAGGGGCTGGATGTCCGTTTGCTTTTGGACGTTGAATAATAATGCCTATGTGGTAAATTTAGAAATTAATTTAATATTTAATGTTTAACTATTAAAACTTTCAGACAATTAAAAATATAGTAGATAAATCGACTCTATAGCCAACGAGATCGTGAAGTGTTATCAAGTCTAGGTACCTTTCTCTAATGCCTTACTACAATACTCACGTTACACCACAGGTGAGAAATAGGGGCAACGCACGAGCATAAACATTCCTCATTAGTCTGATATTAGCACATTAGTCTTGTAAGACTATATACAAAAGAATCATGACAATCATTCATTACTGAATAAGAATAAGAGGTACGAAATGATCCAATTGGTAAATTCATTTGGAAACTTGTCCTATTTACCCAACTTTCATCTAGAGCCAGCCAGCATTCCAACGACAACAACTATTCCATCTAGAAACAGCTACTTACTAACCACACCACAAGTTCAACCAGACTCCTCCTTCGTATCCCGGAACCTATGCGACTTAAACGCCTCCGGAATCGTACCACCCACCAACCCATTACTATCAAAAAACGCCCTAACCTCCTTCTCTTCAGCATCACTCAGCACCACATCCTGCGCGTCCCAATTCTGCTCCAGATAACGAATCCTCTTCGTCCCCGGGATAGGAAAGACATCATCGCCCTGCTTAAGCAGCCACGCCAGCGCGAGCTGCGACACCGTGCACCCCTTCTTCAGCGCGAGGGCGGCGAACTGCGCGACGACCTGGGCGTTGCGCTCACGGTTCTCGGCTAGGAACTGCGGCATGACGCGTGGCCGGGCGTCGCCCTCGGAGAAGGCCGTGTCGTTTTTGCTAAAGTCGGCCGTCAGGATTCCCCGGCCTAGAGGCGTCGCGGCTACGATGGCGACCCCGAGGTCCCGGCATGCGGCGAGGAGGTCTGTGCCTGCGGTTCCCTCGATGTCGCGGGCGGAGACCGAGTATTCGGTTTGCACGGCGGCGACGGGGGCGATTTTGACGGCGCGGCGGAGGGTTGCGGCGGAGACCATGGAGAGCCCGATATATTTGATTTTACCCTCGCTAGTCTTTTGGTTAGATATCTGTATTGTAACGAAACAACTAAAGTTAGGAGTACTTACGCTTGAAGCTCTTTTAAGGCGAGCATAGTCTCCTCGATAGGAGTCTCAGGGTTGACGCTATGTATGTAGTCTATCGTTCCATAAGTTAGAAAGGTATTCAGTTGTAAGAGCCGAAATATCATGTTCTCAAGGGTTTTAGAGTCTAAGTTTGTTCTTGAAGAAAAAACTCCAAGGTTATTGAGACGACCGGATAGGCTAAGTAGAGAGAAAGGAAGATACAACTCACAAAGATCAATCTGGTCAACACCCAAGGCCTTCAGACTCTTATCGCAGGCCTGCTTAGTATACTCATAAGAGCTGTTGGCCTCAAAGGTCTTGCTGCCCTTGATGATACCATACTTCGAAGCAATAAAGATCTGGTCCCGCTTTCCAGTCCTCTTGAACCATTTACCGATATGTTCCTCTCCATCACCATACAGACTGTACCATCATTAGTTTAATATACTCCTCTTGCCTAAAGTTGAATGAAATACACGGATCATGACTTACTCAGCAGTATCCCAAAAGGTTTCCCCTAGCTCAAGGGCGCGATCGAGCAATTTAAATCGCTCCTCGTCATCTAACTCCTTTCCGTAAACCGAGTAAGATGCTCCCATGAGTCCAAGACCCAGGGCTGGCACCAAGGGGCCATTCTTTCCTAGGTGGCGGAGGATAGGCTTAGCAGGCATATTGGCAAATAATTGATGAGTGAGAGGTAGAAGTGGTTTGAAAAGTTCAAGTAGATGTCTTTGACTCTGAAGACTATTGTGTCTGTTAATTCTGCTATCAAAGTGCTAACAAGACGAGAAAGGCTCAGATATTTATATTCCATCGCTCTCGCGAATCCCATAGCCCACCACCAGCCATCAGCACAAACACACGACCTCCTCCAATGCGCCCCAACCCGAAGCATGTATGCGAAATCCGTACATGACAGCTCGAAAATTCACTCCCTATACTTCTTAGGTCCATTAAGTCCGACAGTAAAGTACAGCTGAAGGTCAAGTTCACGATCCAGTATTCGTAAGACGATAAAAGGGGCATTCCACATTTAAACAAATGCAGGGAAATTAACCAATCAACATGCAGAGTTTCCGAGCAGACCAATCAACATCTTTGCCAGCATCCAATCGAATGACGTACATTAGAGCCGGTCAGACGAATTGGGTATAGCGAAGTCACCTTTGGTCATACCGGCGAGCAATATAGAGAAAAATGAAACGAGACTTTATCACACTTTCGCATTCGAATGATGCCTATGAAGACTTAGCAGTATATAGATTGTTTATTTGATAAGAGCTTCTAGAATGGCCGCCCCTCCTCCCGACTCCAAAGATCCCTTCTCAATTTTCGACGAAGCACCATAATAAAGCGAATATTTTCAGAGTAGAATCCTTTCCCGACCTAAGATATCACGACCAATACACCTAAGAAGCCAGGTCCTCCAACACCTTTGCCTTCTACTAAATCAGAAGTCAAAAATGTGATTAAAAGTCGTCTAGATGACTATAGCAATTCAGGTTGGCTAGCGGTGTTAGAAGCCGAGCTTGCTTTAGGAAATGAATTCCTCCAAGTATATAGCAAAGTAGAGAGCTTGATGGTAGGCGCGGACGACTGCATAGATGATACTGTAATGCCGGCTACCTCGCCTTCGATATGTTAGTAGGTTTATGGCCCTAGAAAGAAATTAGGTACATACCTAGAGTCAACAGTGCTAAATTCCTCATCGCGGAAGGCGGGAGCCCGTATGAGCCCAGTACCAATGATGCTGCTGGACACCAAACATAGGGCCACCACGACGAGACAGACGACTGCTTAAGGATTGAATTGCCGACATTAGCCGCCTCGGTGGCTGTATCCTCTAGTGTTTCGAGAATATCATTCGTTATATTGCGTGCCTGATGGAGTAGGCTAGTATGATCGTCGTATTTCTCCGCTAAGTTTTCTGTGATGCCGATAAGTCGTTGCATGCCCTGCGAGTTCATATTAGTCATGGGTAACAAACATCGTGAAAGTGATATACCTTACCTCCTCTAAATTGGCTTGCCTCGATTCCAATTCCATTGCTTGGAGACGCGAAAGCTCCTAGAGTATTATATTAGCATAGAGCCGAGAACACCACAATAGTGCGACGTACGACTTCGGTTCGTAAATGCGCTGCGGACTCGGTAACTACCGCGATTGCTTGAATAGCCGTGTCAATTGCAGACTCCGCACGTTGATTGGCGAGTTGCATTGACTGTTCATAAGAAGATGCTACCTCGGCTTGACCTTCAAAAACACTCTTCAATACAACCTCGAGCATTTTCTGCAGGTTGGCGGCATTCTGCGCCCCTAAACTGACCGCGTCTGTAGTTTCCTAGAACCAAGTTAAAAGAGATCTCCAGCTAAGTAGAATGAAGTATAATAAGTTACCTTAACAGTGTGCATAAGTCGAGCAAGAAAGAAGTCTTCTATGGATTTTAGACTATCTTTCAAATGGTCTACTTTGGGGGAAAGCTCATCTATTATCCCACCCGTAGCCTGTGCTCGAATATCTAGATCGTTCATACGCTGTTCAAACTGTTTGTCGATGTCGTCTGTATATCGCCCCATGATCTTTGTTAAACGCTGAAAGAGAAGTATGTGCTGATCTAAGGGGTGTAAGTCCATTAATATAAACTCGAATTAGACACAAGTTATTTTCATACCTTTCTCGTTGTCCACCCTAGCGGCTTCACAAAACCTCAAAGCTTTATGGCGGTAACTAACCCAGGTGTTCTAGGCCGAGTCGGATTCGCCTAAGCCGGAAAGGCAGCTGTCAACTTCTACAGAAGAGACGTGTAGGTGTCCCAAACTTTGAATTGGTAGCTGGCTTAGGACGGACTCTCGAAAATTGGCGCACTCTCTTGGGATCTGAAAGCTTCCTCTCTCCAAGTCGCAGATTGCCAGACTAGCAGCGTACGAGTCAACGAAATCTCTAATTTTACGGCCACTTTCAGTCAGAACTGATGCCTCATTCTTGCCCTCGAGAACTTCGCAATTATTCACTAATAGGCGTGCAGCTGTCCTATGGCATAGGGGCTCTGATTCTAATTCTCGTAGCTCCTTTAGGGTTACCTCATAGGAACTGGGTAATCGCGACCCAGATCTTAGGAGTTGTGATAGACCGCCGCCTGTAGTAGCTGAGTTTGTAAGCATTTCGGTTTCTAATTTCTAGTAAGCAAACGTGTAAGAGAAGTAAGTAAGTGGTGACATACCTAATGCCACTTTCGGCACACTGCGCCATGAAAATCCATTGATCAAGTGAGCCTGTAAGAGCGAGAATATGATCACCTTCCCCATAATTCCCCGTTGGTTATTCATGATAAATCTTCTAGCCTTCTGGAGAGACGGCAAGATAATGCAATAAAAAAAAGAAGTACTGAAAGTTTATTGAAGTAAATAAGATTTACGGTATGGGAATAGTGAAGTCCTAGTATTGAAGAAAAGTGATGAAAGGAAGAGTTAGAAGGGGGGGAATAGTCGTAGTAGAGAAACGAAAAGAAGTATGGTATCAATAATAGAAAATTTTTCGAATATGTCTCATGGGTCGTCATCCGATAAATTCGACAAACTTTTGCTCCTTAACCGCACACATCCTGTTCAACCCCTGTATGATTTTATCTGAAGTCAGATCAAGATTTGTTAAGAGTAGTGCAGATATCACGATTATCAAGAGTGGACAAAGTGGAAGGTATCTCCTTGGAAGACGTAATAAGAGAGATTACTAAATTCATATTAAACTAGAACTATGAAAACTTTCTCCGTCAATAATTCAATCTTTCAGAAGAGAGGAAGGAGCAACTAAATCTAAGGCAATTACGATAGGGGAAGTTGTAGTAATTACATAAGCCTCTATATTGCATACAGTCGTTATCTTCAAGTTATATAGCACGTGATTTGATCCGCTTTTCTTTTAGCATTGCCAAGCATCGCGCATCGAGCTCTGCAACTGAAATTCTGGGATTTTGAGTTCTACAGTCAATTGACTTCATAGCGGAGACTCCCAAAATCCACAATGTTGGCGCCGAGTAGGGGAAAGGTGCTCGATAGAGCCCTTTCAGGTACCAATGCTCCCGTTACACTCCCGGCTTTCCTCGTACCAGCTTTTCAGACGACAGCCCCGCGGCGCCAATTCTCGAATACATCGAATAGACCCTCGAAGCTTGGCCGAACGCCCATATCGATCCCGCCCGGTGTTGACTTGACTATTGGTGAGCCTAGGGTTAAGAAGGATCCTACTACGTACCTAAGAATACCAAAGCGAACAGTCACTATAGCGGGGCCATTAGGAAAACTCGATCTCGAAATTCCTCCTTATCTTACGATTGCCCATGACGAAGCTTCGAGGAGGGCAGTGCTCAGCATTGAGAATAATGAGATCAAGCAGCAGAAGGAGATGTGGGGTATGTGCAATATTTCTCGTAGTCATTGCGATTGTAGAAGACTATCTTGATTTACAAGGGCTAGCTAGGACTAACTTAGGGTCAATTAGGAACCACATGGGCATACCTTAACCGACACATCATCGGCGTATCAGAAGGACACACTGCAATCTTACGATTAGTGGGTGTAGGTTACAGGGCGACCGTCGAGGAGCGGCCAAGGAAGGCAACTTACCCCGGAGAGAAGTTTGTGTGCCTAAAGCTTGGTTTCACCCACCCTGTCGAGGAGCCAGTTCCTACCGGCATAAAGGCCAGCACGCCGCAGCCGACGAGAATTTTACTCGAAGGCATTAACCGAGAGGAAGTTATGTCTTTCGCGGCTAGGATACGGAAATGGAGAGTGCCGGAACCATACAAGGGGAAGGGTATCTTCGTCAACGACGAGACAATCAAGCTAAAACAAAAGAAGATCAAATAGATGATCTTGGGAATGGTATTATTCCATTTCACGCGCGTATCTATGTGTTATATGACGGTAGATACCCGATAAAAAAAACTATGTACTTGTATGCATTATCTGTTTATGAAGTGCCAATTTTATTTCTTCGAGAGCACCTCCTGCACCACCTTTAGAACTTGCGGGTGGGCAGCAGCAGGAGCAGCGACGACACCCTTGTTGTTCGATAGTGTTCGCCCAATGCTAAAGTCCAACGACTTTCCGTGAATATCTGTTACGGCACCTCCAGCTTCTCGGACGATGAGGTCACCCGCGGCGTGATCCCAGATCTTCTCCTGGTATGTCGCACTGACAGGTAATCTCAAGTAGATGTCACCCGCGCCTCGCGCAATAGAAGCATACTTGGCCTGAGAGTCCATCCGCACGCTAGGGTTTGTAATGCCGAGCAGCTTCGCGATTTCAGCTTGGTCTCCGTGGGACGAGTGACCGGCCTCTACGCTCTCGCAAAATGTTGCTGCTGCGATGTCGGTGATTGCCCTCATGGAAATGCTCTTCTCCTTAGCCAATTCACCAGTAGTCAACGCGCGGCTTGTAGCACCTTGGCCCAACACGCCAGAGAATAGGACTCCCCTTCCCTCGTCTGTCTGACCGGATTCCATGCCTCCCGTTAACGTAGCAGTGTCGTCAATAGGGAGGTTCGGGCAACCCAAAACACCAACTTTAACATCACCGTCCACCATCAGGGCAAGGCATACAGCGTATTGGCCACCACGCAAGAAGCCCTTGGTACCATCGATAGGGTCAATAGCCCATATACGACCCTTAGCACCACCCTTGCTATTTCCATAGTCAATCATAGTCAACATAGCCTCCTCGTTATCGATAGCTCCTCCAAGCAGACTCTCGGCCTCGGGGTCGGAAAGCTGAGTGGTTGAAACTAAGTCCCAGATTGTATGCTTCAAGTTCTTATCTTGACGTAGCTGAGCAGCTTCTTCCTCGGCAACAATTTCATCGTCGGGGAAGTTTGCCTTCAGGGCGCTAATAATAAGGGCCTGGGCACCGAAATCACCGATTGTAACAGGAGACTTGTCATCCTTAGAGACGGTACCTTTGGCCTTCTCGTGGAAGACTCTCTTGGTTAGGATGGAAGCGCGTTGGACGGCTAGCTGTGCTACTTCGAGCTCTTTGGCGTATGACGACATATTTTTATTAGATATGACAGGGCTGAGAATTTGCTGGCGGGATCCAGGAGAAAGATGCAGGGACAATGAAGTAAGGCGGGGCAAAGCTCGAAACAAGAAGGCGGCCAGTGTCACGATGAAAAGAGAGGATAAAATAAGGAACTTGGTAGAATTTATCTTTTTATCTTTTTTAGTCTGCATATAGCAAGATTTATGTAATTTATTTGTAAGTGGGATATATATTGGGGATTTATGTATATTCGTTGCCAGCACAATGATTCAATGATTCTTTAGCTTTAGCTTACACAATCGTTGTAGCTCCTCATGTTATCCCACTATGATGCATGGTTATCATATGCATACCAGGTAGCATTCAACCTCACTAATGTCGGGACCCGAGACATTTTACAAGGTACAATTTTCTCTAATCGCCATCTTTTAGCGGCTAGATTCAAGTGTTGTTCAACCCGATAGCCTCAATTCTAGTCACACCAGCCCTAAGACATAGGGGAAGTTTAGGTGGGTATATAGGCTGTCGGGGCCATACCCCGGTCCGTCACCCCTCCGACGACCGTGGCTTAGGTAAAGTAAATTGTACAGGAATTGGAGAATCAAAGAAAACAACAAAGTTACGTAGGTACCTTCTTCATTTATGTACCTAACAAATTCATACGCATCTGGTCTCCAATTTGGCCATTCAAGTCTAAACAAAGTAAATATAATCTATTGGTGGATTCTCATACGATAGGTACTAACTTGATCAACCAACTTATTATTAAAACTCCACAAAGTAAACAACAAACTACTTCTAGGAGCTAATAGAGGAGGTTGTAAAAGTCAATCCCTTAAGAGCTTCTAAGCAAGCTCTAGAATCCTAATTTAATACTTAATACCACCCTACTAGCAGCCTTATTCTTCATTGAACCGAATCAACCATGAATGCTACTAAGCGGAAGTTCAATGCCTTATTACAAGGGATCGGCGCGAAGCCAATACCTCAGTCGCCATCAACAGAAGCGCAAAACGATACTTCAAATTCGCCTCTGAATCGACCCTCAACCCCAAACTCGAGTTCATTACCCAACAACGCCTTGACCCCGAATAAAGAGATGCCTTCCGGAAGCGTACCCTCAACCCCCAGCGATCTCCTGAAGCGCCGGCGTGTAGGTGTCCTAGAGTCTACTCCAGGTAACGAAAAACCAGGCGGAACTATTATTTCAAACGTCGTACTGAAGAAATGGGCGCCAAATGGCAGTGCTGTCTCTCCAGCTAAGGGAACAAAGACTGAAGCACCAAAGTATTGCCCTAGCGATCGCAACGAGTTGATCAGGCGACTTGGGACATTTCAAGAACTAACAGAATGGACTCCAAAGCCGGATAAAGTCAATGAGATCGAATGGGCCAAGAGAGGTTGGGTCTGTAATGGAAAGGAGCGCGTAAGTTGTACGCTATGCCACAAAGAGTTGGTTGTCAAGATGAATAAAACAGAGGTGGATGGTAAGGAGGTTCAGATCATGGTCGGCTCAGATATTGAGGAGGGCTTGGTAAAGAGATTTGTCGAATTGATCATCGATGCGCACCAAGAAGATTGCCTATGGAGAAGACGCGGATGCGATGGTGAGACCCTTACAATCACTACCTCATATTAGGGATATTCGTATACTAACCAAAAACAACAGACACTTTGCTCAGACTATCCTTAACGAGTCCACCAACTGCGCTAGCCTCCCTTCGCCAACGGTACGATGAACTTTGCGCGCGACAATATTTTCTTCCCTATCTCTTCAACCTCCGCTTGCCGGCAAACTTAGATCTACAAGCTGCCAAGTCACAATTGGCCTCAAACTTCTTTAGCGACCCTCCGCCACCAAGTACGAATCCATCAGTTCCAAACGATGTAGCTCTCGCCCTTGCTCTTACAGGCTGGCAGGGCCTAACAAACCCGCGTGTTGGTGCGGTACCTAATTCGGCAACTTGTGCTACATGCCTACGCCGCTTAGGATTGTGGATGTTTAAAAGCAAAGAGGTAGACGAAGAAACAAAGCAGGTTCTCGTTCCGGCACCTATGGATTACCTTGATCCTGTACGTGAGCACCGCTTCTTCTGTCCCTGGCGGAATGCCACGGTTCAGCACAATCCTGGTGCAAAAAAGGTAGACAACAAAACCGCTTGGGAGATACTTGCGCAAACGATTAAAAATAACTCATACCTTCGCGCGCAAGCGGAGAAGAGTAACCAGCGCTCTTTTTTCCATCGCTCCTCGGCATCCGTCCCAACAACGCCAGTGAAAGGAAGGCAAGCAGGAGATGGGCGTTCGCCCATGCTAGGATCGGATGATGAAGAGGATATGACTGCCAGAGACGCGAAGGATAAGGAAAGATGGGCGCGTTTGAGGAAAGTGAAAAACCTATTCGACACAAAGAATGGAGTAAAATTACGACGTTCATTATCCCGACCAGCAACTGCTACAAGTCGCCCAGCTACTGCGCATTCGAGGCAGGGCAGCGTCCCACCTGAAACAGGAGGAGAGAAAAAATAAGGAGACTTGCCACCACGGTTTGGATTTTGTCAAGGCGTTTATACTAATGGATCTGGTCTGGTAATTTTTAGCAAGATACCCAACTTACTCACGTCATCTTTATTTAATGTAACTATTCGATAATAGTACTAATTTGAAACTCTGGTGTCCTTTCTCCCGTTTGGTGGCTATTGTTTTTTCGGGTGGTTTCTTGTGTCCTGTATCTCATCAGCAATATGATTTCCTGTTGCTTTATTCTATTAGAGATCGGCCCATCTCGTTTTCAGGGGCGTATTCAATAGCCTTCATAGTAAATATATATGATAAACGACACATCCATCCAGGTCAGGATATCAGCGAAGAGTGTGTTAATAGATGCCATTTAATTTCTCAGCTTCGTGTAAGGCGTTCAGGAGCAACAAAGGTCAAAGCAGCCATAGTGATTATTCATAGGCTGCGTGCCTACATGTAGGTACCTAAAGTAAGTATCATCCAGTCGCTTCCGTCATAATGATTTAATAATGTACCTACCTATGTTAAGTTAGATAGTTTCCTATGCTGACTATTAGGTAATCTAGGAACATGAAGTATACAACTGCCCGTAATTGGGTACCATTAAAAAGTTTAAAAAAAGAAAACGCATGTGCGGTTCGTCACGTCGTCAAAACAACGTAACATTTTCAACCGCCTCCGATATTTACATAGTACTATTTTACGCACAAATGTCGCTTCGTATCGCCACTTTACTAATTTGGACACTTCACAGCTGCAGAAGGAATCACTTATTAATGTAAGAAAACGGGGATCCAAGACATGTCAAATATTACCATGCGACCAACGAGATCACGCCTAATCAACGTTTTTGCAGTGGTCGTCTGCGGCTTTTGTGCGTGGACTAGGATCATCTATGCCGGACGCATCTTTAATGCCCCATTTACTAATGGAGCTTGCTTCGAACAGACGCCGGCTCGGGGTCTTACCCCTGGTGGCAATAATCCACTCGGCGCCGCTAGTTCGAATTCTGTCCTAGGCAATTCCTAGTCGGATCTGATGACCCCTGATCTCACTGTCACTTTATGGAAGATTCTACTCAACTACAATTATGTGTTTTGTCATATCGAATTCCTACCGCTCATTGTGACTTATATGGCGACTCGCAGTATGCCGAGCCATGTGTCACAGTCGGTCTATGCCCGGCGGCGAAGATCCGGCTCTCGCAATTCACCGCCCGGAGTTGCAAACCTATACAGGGTTAGAATGACCTATCAAACCTCACCGAACCCTGGGTGATTGTGGAGAGCCGTTGCGCTTTTTGTGCGTAGGACTGCTAGATATATATAACTTAGACAACTCTGGCCTATTTCCGAAAGTGAATCTTAAGGTATTCCAGAACACTTCTTTTAATTTAACAGGTAGTTACCATTAACTAGAACTTCTCTGTTATTCATATAACTAAAGTCGGTTGATACCCTATTTGGAATCCGAGTTACTAGCATCAACTCATATCTTCGTGTGTAAAGCAACAAACAGACAAACGGTTACTTCTCTGAGGCTTCTTTTCGAGATTTTATTCGCCGGTGGAGTCGACTCCTTCTCCTGTTTCTACTGGCACCAGCCTACATATACCCCCTTCAGGCTGAATTACACATCGCCCGCGTACCGACGTCCGTACTTCCCAGAACGGATTCTTATTTTAATATATTCCAACAACCGCACACAGTACCTTTCATCAGTCACCCTAGCTCCTGTACGTCTCCGCCTTGCTAGATCTGTCCGTATTCAGCAGGACCAAAGAGATCAACATCGCATGCGCAGGTCGCACTCCTAAGCAGTCTCCCAAACGGCAGACAACACCAGTTATCCAAAAATGGCTACCCCAGACCAAACAGTCACCACAAATTTCCTACTGGCTAATCTGCATTGTCCCACGTGCGTATCCTCTATAAAAGATGTCTTGGAACGTCTCCCTGGTATTAGTTGGGTGTCGCCCAATGTCGTTACCTCATGGGTCGCAGTCGAGCACGATCCCAAGGCGTCTATTACCGAGATGGCGTCGAAATTGGAGACTTCGGGGTTTGAGGTCTCTAGTGTAGCCTCAACCAATGGCGAAGAAACTCTAGCTAACTTGTTACATGGAGATCCATCTAATATTCCCGGCCCCTCAGCAGCTCCGACTTCGCCAGATATCAGCCTACGAGACAGCCCACTAGGTCGAATCTTCAAGTTGCCAAGCAAACTTACACATGGGCATGCATCGATCGCAAAGGCAGAGAAGGAAAGAGAACATCTCAATAACTGTGAATCATGTCGAACTAACGGGCCGAGGCCTAATACCTCCAATACTATATGCTGTAGCATAGTATCGGAAAAGGCCAGTGATCTATTAAGTGATCAGAAAAGAGACGACGAGAAGTCGGTTCGAGAAGTGATCACATCAACCAAATCACTCGTAGCCGATGACGATGATAAACCCCAGTCACCCAGTGAGGGACGTAGGTGGAGAGTTTCTATGGCTATTACCGGGATGACATGCGCTGCATGTGTAAACGACATCAACTCACAGCTAAATGAGAAGCAATGGATCACTAAGGCCACGATCAATCTACTTTCAAACAGTGGCGTGGTTGAGTATATTGGTACCAAGGATGACGCCAATCAAGTCGTTGAGATAATTGAAGATACAGGAAGAGGCGCCGAACTTGATCAGGTTGTTAACATTGATGGTGAAGATAAGCCAAAGCATCAGAGAAATGTCGAGATCCGCATCGATGGATTCTACTGCGACCATTGCGCCGACCGGGCCACGAATAGTCTGAAGGGATTCCTTCAAAACCTCGAAGTTATCGCTAGACCTAGCCGAAAACGACCCATTCTTAAGATAGCTTATACCCCTGTAGTGCCCAACTTCACTATCCGACGGATCCTCTTAGCTATCGAAGCAAGCGATCCAGCATTCAAGGCGACAATCTACCATCCACCCACATTAGAAGAGCGCTCAAAGAGGATACATGCACGCCATCAGAAGCAACTCTTCCTTCGTGCCCTATTCACGACAATTGTTGTCATTCCAACGTTTATCATTGGCGTTGTGTATATGAGCCTTGTGTCGAACTCCGATGCATCTAAGATGTACCTCATGGAGCCTTGGCGATCCGGAATCAGCCGGGCGCAACTTGCTCTTTGTATCATGGCAACACCAGTATACTTTTTCGGTGCTGATATATTTCACCGACGTGCAGTAAAGGAGGTCAGGGCATTGTGGAGACTACGAAGCCAGACACCAATTCTCCAGCGTTTTTATCGATTTGGCAGCATGAATATGCTCATATCGTTAGGGACTACGATCGCATACATCTCGTCAATTAGCCAGATGATTGCTGCTGCTGTGGATCGTCCAGATATGGTCAATGACGAAAATTTCTATTTTGACTCTGTTGTATTCTTAACGTTTTTCTTACTCTGGGGACGACTCATCGAAGCATACAGCAAATCCAAGACAGGTGATGCAGTGGAGGCTCTTGGCAAGCTTCGCCCGACTACCGCTGTGCTTGTCGAGGATGTCACAGATACTAAGGAGGCAGAGACAATAGTCCATACTGATCTACTCGAATTCGGTGATCTCGTCCGTATTCCCCACGGAGGCTCACCTCCTTGTGATGGAAAGGTCGTGCGTGGTGTAGCCGAGTTTAACGAATCCAGTCTAACAGGAGAATCCCGTTTAGTAAAGAAGGTTACTAATGACAACGTCTTCGCGGGTACCATCAACGTTGGTAAACCTATCTTAATTCAAATCACCGGTAGTGCTGGCCAGTCGATGCTTGATCAGATCGTCGACATCGTCCGAGAGGGTCAGACCAAGCGCGCACCGATGGAAAAACTAGCAGATCTGTTGACTGCTTACTTTGTCCCGTTTGTTACTCTCATTGCTATCCTTACTTGGCTTATTTGGTTATCAGTTGGCGTATCCGGCGCGATCCCTGGGCATTTCCTCGATGTATCATCAGGAGGCTGGGTTGTATTCTCGCTTCAGTTCGCTATCGCTGTCTTCGTTGTCGCATGTCCGTGTGGTCTTGCTCTTGCTGCTCCCACTGCGATTTTCGTCGGCGGTGGCCTAGCTGCGAAGCACGGTATACTCGTTAAGGGCGGTGGCGAAGCTTTTGAGAAGGCGAGCCGGATTGATTGTGTTGTCTTCGATAAGACTGGAACTCTTACCATGGGTGGTGAGCCGACTATCACAGATAATATGATATTCCCTGGGCAAGCAGTGAGCGAAAAGCAGCGGGATGCTTTCCTGGCGGCACTTCGGGCTACAGAGGAGAATAGCACCCATCCCATCGCAAAGGCCATTATCTCATTTTGCAGCTCCAGGACATCTGAGCGCATTGAGGTCTCAGATGTCGAGGAGCTACCAGGGAAGGGTCTAAAGGCGACCTATAATATTGAATCATTACCCTTCAAAATTATTATCGGTAACGAATCGCTCATGCGCGACTTTGCAGTTAATATCCCACTCGATGTTGCTACAGGCCTTCAGACGTGGAAATCAGAGGCTAAATCAGTCGCACTCGTAGCCCTCGAGACTCCTGCCGCGCCAGGTTTATATCAAATCGCAGCCGCCCTCTCAATCTCCGATCCAATACGGCCCGAAGCCTCTGCTGTGCTTCAGGCTCTAAAATCGAGGGGCACGGATGTGTGGATGCTTTCAGGTGACAACGTCATTACAGCCAAGGCTGTCGCGCTACGCATGGGTATTCCCGAATCCAACGTCATCGCCGAAGTCCTTCCCGCGGAAAAGCATGAGAAGATCAAATGGCTACAATCTACACTTAAGGCCCGCAGAGGAGATGTCGAGCTCACAGACCGCCGTGCATTCATCGCCATGGTGGGTGATGGCATCAATGACGCACCGGCACTAACGACAGCAGATGTAGGTGTAGCAATTGGTTCCGGTGCCGATGTTGCCATCTCCAGTGCGGACTTCGTGCTTCTAAATAGCAATCTGGAGTCCATCGTCACATTACTTGAGCTTAGCAAAACGGTATTCCGTCGCATCAAGTTCAACTTCGGCTGGGCCCTCATATACAACTTACTTGCCGTACCCATTGCTGCCGGGTGCCTATACCCCATTATGTCTAATGGCCAACACGTGCGTCTCTCGCCCGTCTGGGCTAGTCTGGCGATGGCGCTAAGCAGCATCAGCGTCGTGCTAAGTAGCTTGGCACTACGGAGCGGCTTGCCGTGGATGGGATTTAGAGCTAAGACATTTACGAGTGAAGATAAGAAAGGTAGTGAGACAAGTACTCAGGCTAAGAGTTAAATGTCTAGGAAATTTTTGGTTATACTTTGGCGCTGTGGGATAGTTATATGTCCGGATATGAGGACTTTTGAAACAGAAAAGCTAGTGCAGCATATGTTTTATCTACTAGGCCATAGTACGTAATAACGATTTAATTTGTATGATGAAGTATGCTGTTTTGTTGTACTATGTATGAGTATATGTGATGAGGATATGAGATGATGTTAATGTTGCTAAAGTGAGGTAGACAGTGGCTTTAGGGGCTATACTGACCTAGAGGGTATGTTGGTATATGTCAGCAAAGATAGACAACTATTCAGAAGGTTACATTGAGGCATTATTGACAATGAAAGGGTGCCTGGCTATATGCCCCTTTAGATGCTTGTGGTAGTACCTCGTTCTTCACGTAACAATGAAGTTAGGTTTATACTGTTAAAGCTACCCGCGGTAACATTATTCCATGTTTAATGGTATGGAACTATACTATTCAGCTTTTGTGTCTATGTATGCAGTTCTTGTTGTCTGATGCCCCTATGATCCTCCAGAGTGATGGTCAGGGGTAAGCCCCTTGAATTCCATATTTACTAGATCCATCTTATTTTTTTTTTTCATTGCTACTATTCAATAGGACATATGTCTTAATGATTCATGTTTATAATCACGCTGTGGAACACAATGGTTTCTTTTCTTTCAGTTAATGGTAATATTGTCTCGACCTTTTTACCCCTTATTTGTCCCTACTCGTAACTATACCCGCAAGTTCTTGCCCTCTGCAACATTAGCATCGCAACATACTACGAATCTTTCGCTCTGTTTATATCCTAACTATGATAATTGTGAAAAAAAAAAAAAAAAAAAAAAAAGGAGACCGTGTTGTTGAACGTACCTGTTGTTACACAAAGAACAATGACTCCTAAGATGTGACAATTGGCATTTCTAAAGCTTTTTTATTCTACCTATTACCCCAATAAACCAGCGTCTCATATATGAGGCAGTGGCTGCAGTACCATAACACACGACGAGCAGTAATTGGATCAATCCCTGAGGGGTTGATGCTGTACGACTTCCAAGACCGCCCAAAAATAATATAATCCCTCCGGAGTAGCCGGTACCGGTATTGGTTGTAATAATGGCAAGGCCTTACCACTACACCACGGGGCTACCCGGAGGGATTATCTACGGTCTGTTTGTTATTCGGGCTTATAAACTAACTGTTGTATAGCGAAAGGACTGTGTCACAATACTGTGTTAGATCCTGAGGTGGCTGAGACGTACGGACAAAGAGCTCCTGGCTATATTAGTTGGTACAGTCCTGGTTCGCTTTGTAGCTTTTCATGCTCTATGAAGCTGTTATTTCTTTCTTTTGTCATCTTTGCATGCTATATATAACTATGCTATTAAATCATTTAAGGAATCAGTCACAGCTCATGGCGATAAGAAAGTCATAAGTTATCTAAATTATTTTTTTCTTTTTTTCTTTTTTTCTTCTTTTTTTTCTTCCAGAACCGCTGCTCGTCGCTTTATACCCCAAGCCCCAGTTTGCCGATCGCCATGTCGAAATCCGCCCAGTTTCTACATCGCGACATAACGATCCCTATCATAAGGTTCGCGATGATGGAATCTGTGTTCCACCGAAACGCCTGGTATAGCGTCGGAACCAGGAATATACTGGCGGATAGCTGAGGGATGAGATCATCAAAGGATTGCTTGGCAGCTTTCATCTCTTCTTGGAGAGGGTGAAGCAGATATCTTATTTTGATATCTGCTATTGTCCGTGCTAGCCAGCTCCAATTCCGGGCGTAGCTGACTTGGATGGTCTGGGTAACAGAGTACTTCATCCGCGGCCTTGCGTGAGATGGTAAATCGGCGATACGCGCCATCTCAAAGAACACATCGAAGTAGAAGGCTCTCGCTATATCAAGCATCACCGGATAGTACTTGGCGGCGTCATAGTTATCAAAGATAACTTTATGACCTCCTTGTACAGTTTTCGGCGATACCATGGTATGGATTGCACTTGTGTCTCCTAACCCCAAGACCACTGGACTGGACCGAGCCCTGCGGATATCCCTGGCAGCTTGATCGAGCAATTTGTTCAGGGACGGATACCGCTCTCCATTGATAACCCATTCCAGGTCCAAGAACCTCCTAGTAGCAATTGAGGAGCCCCCTTTCAACTGGATCTTGTCGCCGTGCAGCTCTCGGAATGCTCTCCCTCCCCTTGCGATGCGATCAAGGTGCGATTTTATAACCTCGCTAGTATCCTGCTTTTGTATATCAGGATTCCGGAACGACTTTCGGTAGGCACTGAGCGTTATCTCGGCCTTCACCACTTCGGCATGAAGAAGCGCCTCCGTGTCGTTCCAGTTGTTACTGCCGCCCCTGTAATAACGGGTCCTAATTTCCCTTTCATATTCGTACTCTAACATAGGGAAGAGTAATCGTTCGGAGCCCGATATACGTGGGATCTGCACCCAGGGGTAGAAATGGGCAGCCATTTTTGCGCTTTCGAGCTCGCGCCTTGCATATGAAGTTATCTTGCAGAGCACGTTGGTGGTGTTTCTGGCCGCACAGGTAATTGAGACCTCCCATTTCCCCGAGACCTCGCCGGCGACTGGTTTCCTTTGCGTAATCCAAGCGAAGTCTCCTTGCTCGAAACAACTAAATACCGTTTTATCAACGGCTTCAGCAGTGCTATAGGTATTACTGTCCCAGTACTTTCCCATTGATATGTCTCCGAATACAGCCAATTGCCGGGGGGTGACAGATACGTTACCTGGGGCCAAGCTTTGGATAACTTCTTTGCCGACCATATAAGACTCGAATCTTTGGTTTATCCATTCCGTATAGGAAGACGAAAACATGTCTGAATCTGTTAGACTTTTGGCCGTTGCAGATTGTCCGGTAACATAATAGTAGAGGCCTAGTACCTTTTTGGTAATTGTCTCTCTGTAGGAATTGGTGAACAAGTTCACTCCGCTAATCAACAGCTCCGCAGTCTGGCCGTACACCACCTCTAAGGGGTCCCGTCGAGAATTATAGGGTGCCTGCCAGTCCTCGTATAACCATTGGTCGTGTTGAATCACAAACCCATTTGGAAGGCTAGTTGCCTGTAGGATTTGACATTCCACACGTCCAAGATTGTGGTTTTTATAAATTCGCTTATCAACGTACGAATATATGTTAAGCGCAGTTGAAGAGCTAGTCTGTGATACGGGTCTATTGAAGTACTCCCAGCTCATTACTACAACTGATCGCATAGACGAGTATCTATCGTAACCCGTGAATCTGACGGCATCAAACTCTGACCAGTACTCGGAGCTTGGAGGGGGAACTTGGTATAGTTCGTGAGGGCATTCTGGTTGCACGATCCCGGTTGCTTCCATGAGACGTTGGCGGTTTTGGTCTACAAGCCTGAAAATATCAAGCTTAGACTTAACAATAACGGCAACGTTCCAGTGTAAAGGATGGCGTCCCGATTTTAAGTCTACATCGCTCAGATAAAGCCCATTACCCCCGACGAAAATAGCTAAGATTTCGGGGTCTTGCGCCAGGAATCCCCGTGACAAACCGGGTACGAAGTTCTTAAAAACTGATTGGATTCTCTCTTGTAAAGCATCCATCTTGATCAGATATTTAACAATAGGTCTCTAACAAAGAGTTGTAAAAGATTTAGACGATAAGCTTCGTATTTTAAGCTTGTGTTGGCTGTAAATACTGTAATAGAATAAATATTATGACGAAATAACCTTTTAATGGTTGAGTAGTATGTTGGAAAGCTTGTATTAAATAGTTCAGTAAAAACTGTGATGATGTAGATTACGATTCAAAAATTGAAGGAATTTTGAGAGTCTTAAGTATTCCTAAGATACAAGAAACAATACAATACGACCAAGTTGTTCCATGGTAGCTCTAAAACAGCGATGATGAGAAGGAGAAGTCGTGTTTTCGTTCAACGCTTCCTTTATTCTATCTTATTTGTGAATAGTCAGTTCATATACAGCATGGCCAAAGATAAATATAAGCCTAAGAGGTCCTACGCCCGTATATAAATTATAATTAACTCTAAGATAGTTTTTGCTAATATCTTCCTACTAAACATAATTTATACGGAACAGCCATTAGGGTACAGGGTCTTACAGTGGTATATATGCTCAACTACGGGGGATAGGGGTAATAGGGGTAATAGGGGTAATAGGAGAAGATAAAAGGTTGCGGAGAAAAAGGTAAAGAGATGTTATTTTTATTAGTTCGCTAATTACATTTAAGCAAACAAGCTAATTCATACGTTAAGACCTATCTTATACTCCGGCTTATTTCAACATGCCTCCTCATTATTTTATTGTGTATAATGCAAAGCTCCATGCAAGTTTACAAATTACTACATTTATAAGAGTCATATTAAATCGGCATTAACATAACGCTATATTATACTACCGTAGACCGTTCACCTGCATCTCAGTTCCAGTTTAGCACCAACTTCTTTCATGCCAACCCATCTATCCACCCCCTAACCACCAACTCAAGCACTCAATATCCTGATACAATATCCCCCACCTTGCGCTCTACTTCTCCTCTACCTCGCCTTCCTTACCGATAGAGTACACAAGAGCACTATATTCATCTCGCTTCTCCTTTACATCCCTCTCTTCCTTCCCAATCGAATACAAGAGAATGCTATACTCAGCACTATCCTCGCTACGCTTGTTACTGACGGCATCCGCCACTACACGCGCGTAGACTTGCTCGGGAACAGCATCACCACGCTTCTCCTCCTTTCCGATAGAGTACGCGATGATACTGTACGTAGCTCCGTCAGTGGTAGCCCCAGCACGCTTGTCGATGACAGACAGCTCGCGATTTTCCTCTTTCCCGATCGAGTACAGGAGGATGCTGTACTCGGCACCAGCTTCTTCGCGCTTAGCTAGGGCTATGTCCGCCGCGCGAGCTAGGTTTCTATCGGTGGAGATGGCGCTGTCACGCTTAGCATCTTTGCCAATGGAGTAGGCAAAGACCCTGTATGTTAGGCCATTGATGTTCTCATCTAGATCTTTGAGTTAATATAGGGCTATAGGTATCATGTGGCCGAAATTCCTCTATCCTTCATTACCCCTCATAGAGACGAAGAAGTGAAGGATAGACGTATAGTAAGACATACCATTCGGCAGGGGCGCAGCAAAGGCACCAGCCAGGAACGTAGTAGCGAGGTAAAGCTTAGAGAAAAGCATGATGGCTTTAAGTGATAACTAGTCAAGAAAACTGAAGACGAAATAGAAGATATGGCGCGAGGTAATGAGTCCAGGAGCTTAGTGTCGTTCGTTGAATACTAGGGGTAGTCGTGGACGATCTCCTCGAGATACTTATACACCTCATGCTTAGACCTTTCGGGTCCTATTACTCCGTTTCTCTGTCGGAAACAAGTGATAACAGGATTAACTTGGTCAAACCCTCCGCAAGCTTGTGGGGATTAAGCGGGAGCATTCGTGTAGCAGCGTCATAATAGGAGCCACGAGACTCAAGTCGATGATGGTATCATAGTTATCCCTGCCATCATACATCTTAACTCATATTGGCTCCAGGGCCAGATTCCCCCACACCTATACGGCAAATGTCCATACTCATCCAAGTTGTTACCAGTTGATATTCTATGTCGTGCAAGAGGAGATCACCTTGAGCCCCATGAAAGGCCAGGATACTTGTCGTCCAAGCCGGGACACTCTATACACTAAAACGACCAGGTTGCAAAAAGCCCCTGCCGAAGGATTTTAGAGGAGTGACACAGAGAGCTGACCTTGAATCGACGACATCAGATATATTTCATAGCAGCTAAATCTAATATTTGCAAGACCGTATCGGAGCCGAGGTCGATCTCGCACTTTTCTATAATAGATAAGTAGGTGATTAGAAATACCAATAATATCAAGGGTAATGTAGGTGGTGTGGGCAATTTCTACCTCCTATATGCTATACCTCGATTCTAAAGTCAATATCAATATACTCTTAGTTATACTTTATGTTTCACAAAACTATGCTTCCACCTTTCGTGGTACAGAGCCAAACAGCGGTCAAGAAGACAGTCTGTAATCCTACCAAAAGTCAAGCCTAAGAAGACCGATACAGAGGGTAACCCTGCCTGTTTAACCTCACTTGGGTTAGAAGAATTAAACAAGAACCCTCTTACAGATATCTTGTTTAACAAGGTAGATTAGAGAGATGAACACCTCGGGTGTATATTAGTCTCATGTCCTCAGACCAGATGTTTCCGGATGGATGCGTATCTGAACGATAAGACATACAGACAACATCACGCCAAATCCAACGTAAGCGCGCATATTTCTGATTCAAGCGGATAGATCCGGAAAGAGTTCATGATTTTCAATAGCTGCCGGGTCAACAGATCCCATCGTGAACAAGTTGACAACTTTCCCTCCTAATTCTACTCAAATGGCTATAGGAACCTTTCCGAGGTTTATGGCGCCCTGGAATTGTCGCGAGACTTCATGGCGGGTAGAAGATAGGATTGAATCTTCAGAAGTTCTGCTCGAAGACGATGCTGAAATGAGCACATATGCATCCTCGAAGCAAGAAAGAAACCGGACATTATGGATTCTAACCACCCTCAATGCCATCTTCTTCGGGGCGGCCTTAGCTCTATACTTTGCTGCTTGGGTAAAATATACCGAGCGCAATGCGTGCCTCAAGGCCACATCTACGTATTGTGAGTTATCTATGCTTCACCTCAACTGTAGAGGTATAATACGGCTTGTTAATATTTCCTCTTGCTAGCTCCCGTTCTCGAGGAAGTAGACATGTCACTGACCGATACTCTACTTAACGGAAGTCTTTGGCTAGGGGATAACCCACCTATCTGGCGAGGTCTACCAAACTCTAACGAAACCAACGAAGCTTGGGACAGCTTCGAGCATGTAAAGCCCATCGCCCTAACCAAGGATCAAATAATGGCCATGGGCAAGGATCCTGCCACGGTCGCCAAGTTCAATGACGACTATTGGGGCCTAGGAGACGATGCGTATGTTGGCGCGCTTGACTTTTTCCATCAGGTTCACTGTCTAAGTGTGTTACGACATGAGGCCTTCAGGTACTGGGACCGGGAGGGGGAAACGGTACCTAAATGGAATAAAATCCACTGGATTCATATACAGCATTGCGTCGGAATGATGATGGAACATCTTCTCTGCAATGCAGATGCTGGATTTCTGACTTACAGCTGGGTGGAACATGAATTACACCCTTTTCCGGATATGAGTGGTAAGCTCACTTTGCTTTAGTCTCTCTTATGCTTCTTAAGAAGCTATCATCACTAACCCAGTATATCGCAGTACGGAAGCAATGCAGAGACTGGCACCAGCTAGTCGATTATCGCGACGCATATGGGGTGAACTTGACCAAGTATGTAGAATGGATAAAACCTAAAGGGGTTAAGGAACTCGAACAGCCTCTAGACTGGTGGCAGCATCACGGTCAAGGAGATAAGGCACATTACGCTAATGGAACAGTAATTGAGAATTGAAGATGAAGTATCCTCAAGTTTGAGTAACGCTGTGTTAAATACTAAGTATCGATGGTTGATGTTAGAGTGAAAAGAGTATGGCTTAATAATGACAGTAATAAATACATTAACCCCTGGTTCCACGCGCATCCCCCGAAGCCCCGGCATAAGATTGTAAGCAGTCTGCATTAGCGTATCCCAATACGTACTTCATCAACCTATCAGAACTCAAGAAATAAATATTTAAACCCCGAAAAGTGAATTGCACCAACAGATCGGTACTTTGATCTACGAGCTTATTTCTAGACGAGCCGATGTACCTTGAAATATCATCATCCTCCTCCTCTCCACGCCGCGAAGCTAGGTACCTAATGTAATATTTAGACATCATAGATCGAATCATGATGGATTAGACCAGGCCATTATACCGGTCCAGTCCGATGCCTTATGGACGGAACCTACTACAGACAATAAAGAATAAATAAGACCTTGAGAGGCGCCCGTCACTAACTCATCTCTCCTCATCCATCTTTGTATTCGCCCGTCGCTCGTCATTTATATACCTCTTATAAGCAGCTTATAAACCCTTACTTAGACATTAGAAATATTAAATCTTTCTCATTCTATACTTCTATACCATGGCATCAGGTCTATTCTTCGACCCCTTAACACTCCTGCGTGTCGCACCACTAGTCACATCAACAGCCTCCATCGTCATCGCAGGCGACTCGCACATCTTCCTCAGCGCCCTCGTCTCGCTTAAACAACAACGAGGAAAAGTCAACGAGGTCGCACCGCGCTACTTCGAGACATTCTTCTGGAACGCGTTGCCCTCCATCTTCATCACATATGGCTTGTCTGTTACTTTCGGTCTCGTCAACTCTTACTCGAGATTTCACGCTGCTTCTTGGAACTGGTACGCGGCCGGCTCGACTCTAGCTTTTGCTCATTTCGCTTTCGTGCCGAAGATTATGTGGAAGGTCAAGGACGCTATCGATGCGAAGGAAGATCCTAACGGTGGAGGTGTTAATGCTATTCAGAGCTGGCTGGATGTGCACCACGTGAGGACTGCTATGGTTGATATTCCGGCGTGGGCATGTTTCCTCGTCGCTACGGTGAAGGCTCTTAAGTCAATTTAGGCCATATCAGATGACTTTGAGCTTTTAAAGGTGCTAATGGGGCAGAGACGATAGGCTCAGACTCTCATATTTACATACATATGAAGTGGTAAAAGCTATAAGACCTAGGAGACTTCAGACCAATCATAAGCACTTCAGTTGGGTGTATTAGGATGCAGGTTAATATCCAAGATGTAAGATATATACATACCTCTTTACTTTACTTTAAGCACCAACTTTCTTAATAGTCTTAGTTAGAAGATATCTACCATCACAAATCTCCATAGTTACATAAATTCAAGACTCTCTTCGTAAAAAGAAAGATTCCAAAAATACCTAAATAAAGCACTTCGGCTTAAGATAGACGTCAAATACTGCTACTAAATACTAAGCTCAGAGACGGCGTATTTCTCCAATTTATCCGTCAATCAGGACGAGGGGAGCTATTCGATATAATCTCTCCTCTACTCGGTCTAATTAAACGTACAGTCTAATAACCGAACCCCGCAACTAATAATCTCCTTGTGAAAGAGACAATATAGGACCGTATTTATAGTAGAGGACCGAACTACCCCGAATCCGATCTATAGTCTTTCTCCACACGAAGCTCAACCCCTCCAACGAACCCCACGATCTCGGACTTTGAGGTCTCGATATAATAAAACATTATTTCTTCTTGGCTTAACTACATTTTTATTATTATTTTTCGCCATTGACTTTTACCAGCACCTTTCCCTCTTATTTACTACCTCACCTCTATACTACATTCACTCTAGACTCTACTTAGCTAAACCCTCCTCTCGGTATAAGAGCCTACCCAGCTCAAAATGGCCGAGATCACAATCACCGGCTTCCGGACCCGCGACGTGCGGTTTCCCACGTCCCTAGACAAGACCGGATCCGACGCCATGAACGCCGCCGGCGACTACTCCTCCGCTTACTGCATTCTCGAGACGGACTCTAAGTTCACCGGTCACGGAATGGTAAATCCTCCCTTAACCCCTACTCACTATACCCTCCCCTCCCCCCCTTTCAGAAAAGAAACCAAAACCCACTAACACAACCCAGACCTTCACAATCGGCCGCGGCAACGACATCGTCTGCGCCGCAATAGTCCACCTAGCCTCGCGCATCCAAAACCGCACCCTCTCAAGCCTAGTCTCCAACTGGGGCCAGACCTGGCGACACCTCGTCAACGACTCGCAGCTGCGCTGGATCGGCCCTGAAAAAGGCGTGATCCACCTCGCCCTCGGCGCCGTCGTCAACGCCGTCTGGGACCTGTGGGCCAAGACCCTGGGCAAGCCCGTGTGGCGCGTCGTCGCGGAGATGACGCCCGAAGAAGTCGTCCGGTGCATCGACTTCCGATACATCACGGACGCGCTGACGCCCGAGGAGGCGCTAGCCCTGCTGACGAAGGCCCGCGACTCGGGGAAAGACGCGCGGTTCGCCGACGCGCTGCAGAGCCGCGCCGTCCCCGCGTACACCACGAGCGCGGGCTGGCTGGGCTACGGCGAGGACAAGATGCGCGCGCTGCTCCGCGAGACCCTCGCCCACGGCTACAAGCACTTCAAGCTCAAGGTCGGCGGCTCCGTCGCCCAGGACAAGCACCGCCTGGCCATCGCGCGCGACATCATCGGCTACGACCGCGGCAACGTGCTCATGGTCGACGCGAACCAGATCTGGAGCGTGCCCGAGGCCATCGCCCACATGACCCAGCTGGCCGAGTACAAGCCGTGGTTCATCGAGGAGCCGACGTCGCCCGACGACATCCTGGGCCACAAGGCGGTGCGCGACGCCCTGCGGCCGCACGGCATCGGCGTCGCCACGGGCGAGATGTGCCAGAACCGCGTCGTCTTCAAGCAGCTGCTCGCGAGCGGCGCCATCGACGTGTGCCAGATCGACGCGTGCCGGCTCGGCGGCGTGAACGAGGTGCTAGCGGTGCTTCTGATGGCGGCGAAGTTCGGGGTTCCGGTGGTCCCGCACTCGGGCGGCGTGGGCCTGCCCGAATACACCCAGCACCTGAGCACGATCGACTACGTGGTCGTCAGCGGGAAGCGCTCCGTGTTGGAGTACGTCGACCATCTGCACGAGCACTTCCTGCACCCGTCCGCGGTCAAGGACGGCTACTACCAGACGCCGACGGAGCCGGGGTACAGCGTGGAGATGAAGGCGGAGAGCATGGATCGGTATAGTTACCCGGGCGAGGAGGGGGTAAGCTGGTGGAGGACCGAGGAGGCTCGGCCGATTTTGGAGGGGGAGAAGATTTAGATTTGGAAAGGGGCAAAGCTCGCTTGAAAGATAGGTACCTAGGTACCTAACCTAGGTTGGAAAAGAAAGAATTGGATGGGAAAAGGGGGGGCTTACGCATTTAATGATTACGGCGGAGCATTAAATAGGTACGGGTAAGCATCGTGGTGCTGCATATACTTTGCATCTAAAGCGACTGTATATCAAGATCTAAGTAGGGAAAACAGTAGCATACTTTGAGTTACACCAGATAATAGTACATACTAAATTCCAAGATTGATATTTACAAATTCTTCGTGGCATGAGCCTAGTTCGGGATGAGATACCTCGGTACCTGGTAACAATACATGAAATCTGACTGGAGAAGAGACACGATAAAGGCACTTGAAAGGTATTAGTTAATGCGCAAATATTATACTATTTAACCTTGTTCAGACCAAGTTAGTCTATAAACTTGCTATACTCACAATAGCCTGTGCATTACTTCATTCTGGGGGTCGGGCAGCATCTACATCCAACAACATACCCAGATACGCCCCTCATGTCACCTCCAGTTATCTTAGACTTTTACTTCATATAATTATTATCAACATATACACACGAATGGTCAACCGTATGACCGTGCTCGCAGTTATAGCTATAGCCGTCTGATCTTCATCCACTCGTTCGTACCCAGCCCCAAGTTTAAGCCATTTCGAGCCCACCATCTACGGACCGGTCTAGGATCCCCGATGGCATCCTCAAGCGCCTCCTCGATATCACAAGTTTTATATTCCACCCTATGCGATCTTCCATCGACTTGGTACTCCCCTCGGGCATACTGCTTCCACCACTCCAGCACATCGACGTACCCTTGCTTCGTCGGCGCGACTAACACCTGGGAGTCAAAGGACAGCTTATCTCCCTTGAGTTCCCGCCACACATCCAGCACCGCAGTCTGTCCGTGCGCGCTAGCGATCTTGCAGACGCCCTCGCTATGAGCTGCCGGAATTCCCGAACTTTCCCACCAACGTAGTACTGCCGTCTGCCCATACTGAGCGGCAGTGAGGAGACTACGACCGGGTTTAAGCGGGATATTATCATGTTTCAGCGCGGCATCCCTCCACCATTCCAAGACAAGAAGGTGTCCTTTTGCCGAGGCCGACTCGAGCGCCGCCTCCGTATACTTAAGCGTGAGGCCAGACCGGAGCCACCAGTCCAAAACGTGAACGTAACCCATACGCGAAGCGTTATCTAATGCTTCGGCGTCATATTCCTTCTTCAGAAACGAAGGAGACGTGTTCCACCAGTCGAGAATATCCGTCCGCCCATATACTCCGGAAGCCTTATTCGGCAATAATTTAGAGCTGAAGGACGCCCAGAAGACCTTACTGAGGTGCGTTTCTAGGTAGGTGAGAACATCTGTAAGCGAAAACTTAATGATAAGTTTTACCGCCAAATAAGACACGAAGCGGAGCCCCTTAGGCGCCTCTGACAGCTTCTGACAAATCGCTTCCGTTCCAGGACACGAGAGAATCAACCACTCGAGATCGTGTATATATAGCTCAATAGGGTCGGATAGGGCTGTACGATCAGTTCTCCATTCCGGTGGCGTCTTTAAGTTCGTAAATATGTTAAGAGCTGTAGCTAATTCCCAGTCACCAACGTGTTCAAATATAATAGACCATATCTCCGGCGGTAAGGTCTTGGTAGATCGACTGGTAGCGGTTGTATGCAAGGCCTGCTGGGTGGCAACTTCGACATCGTGTCCCAGGCTCATCAACTCGGCTTGGTTTTTTATTATGCCAACGAGGTCGTTAAATCCATCCCATAATACTGTTCGCTTATGCGCACTCTGCCCCTCATAATGCCATAATACAGGGGCCATAACCTTGACCCAATTCCATTTGCGCTTGATTTTGCTCAGCTGCTTCTTCGTCATAGGATTCTCCCACATCTGCATCGACATGCCAGGTACTAGCAGAATCTTCTTGGAGACATCCCACGCTCTTAGTATTTCTAGAAGGGTAGTGTCGGCGATGCCAGACATCATCTTGGCAAGGTGGTCAGCATCGATAGGGGCTAGGACGAGCAGGTCAGCCCACTCGACGAGTTCGAAGGCGGTTTGTCTGGCTGATTCTATGGCATCCCTAGTCCTCTGGTCGGCGTCGATAGCCAACGTAGCCAAACTCCTATTCTCCATGACAATAATATCATGAGTTAGCCGAACGGGTATCTCGTCGACTAAGGCACGGGTCTCGATCTGGGCGTCCTTGAGGAGACGCACGGCGATAGCCTGAGCGTAGGCGACATCTCTTTGGCCATTTGCGGCAACCAGCAGACGTAGTCTTCTAGTTCGTGGCATTAGGTGTAACGATGAGGAGGATGAGTTTGCGGTGAGAGAAATAGGAAAAAGACGGGGATCGAAGGCAGAGTCGGTAGAAGAATCATCGGCCATGTTGACGCATTATGACGGTGGAGTATCAGCGTCAGTACCAATGTCTGTGCTAATAAATGGTTCGGTACGGCTTGGGTACCAATGCGTTTATCGTCGGTATCGCGATAGCGTTGGTCGATATTAAGAGCGGGCGTGCTGGAATGCTGGCGTGTAAGTACGATAGTTTCGACGATGATCTCAATCGCTCGGGTGCTCGATGGCTTATCCCTGACGCTCTAGAGGCAAAGGCGGGTCGAGTATGTATTGCTGGTATGTTGGTATGATGGTAGAGAAGTGTAAATACTACTGTATTAGATGTTATGGACAGTATGGACAGCCCCACGCCAAGTCGCGATAGACCCTAAAAATTAGACGGGCTCGAAGAACTGGAGAACTTTTTAAGTGGCGCTTTCGAGCAAAGATACCTTATAAGAGAGTATGAAATTAAACGCAGTTAGGCGAATTGAATTATAACTTGTGCACGTAGATAAATATCTATAAAATTAGTATGGGTGGCGGAAGTTGAAGCATGATATTTTCCAGTCTTAGACAAAATATTCGTACGATGGATACATGTACATGCATGTACATTGAATCTATTTCTATTATACGTCAAGTACCTAACGTACATGCATATGCCCATACATAGAAGCCGAAGCTGCTGGGACTTCATTTGCTCCACCTCTGTACCTAAATCGAGACTTCATAGTGGGGTAGGCTAGCTGGTCAAACATCAATACGCAGGTACATGTCCGGATCTGTACCCATCCGTTTTATTTTTTCAAGGTAAATAGCCTCAAACCTTAGAAGCTGACCAAACAAAGATACCCGAGAGGCCCCTATTGTTTGACTTGTCAAAGTACCGTATTGTCCAAATTCCCATAAATATTAAATATTAAATATATGCATTGCATACCTACTTCTATAGCACACAGCTATACAAAAATCTACAATAATAATAAAAACACATCCCGACACATCACGAAGCAAACCTATTATAATAAGTGATATTCCAATTCTAAGAAGAAATCCTAATTTTCCATTCCGCAATCAAGAGGGTCTCTCCATGTTCTTCTTACCCCCCGGTCTACATAGAATATGCGCGCTATGGTGTGTACCGTACAACAAAGCATAAGCATAGGACAAACAGCTGTCTGATATCCTAGCCTTAACAATTAAACCGGTATAAACAAGGGGTGACCGATAATAGTTGCGGTGGTGAATGTAGACGTGAATATAGAGGCCGCTATGTGTAAGAGCCTCATCTTCCTACATGGTATTGAGGAAGAAGAAAAAGTATGGTTAAAAGAAAAAATTGTAACTCGAACGCCTTGTCGCTCGCCTAGTAGAAGAAGTCATTATCAGCGCAAACCAATTACACTCATCTCAAGTGTCCACACTCTCCGAATCCACACTTTCAGAGTGCCCTCTACACCCTCCACGTCTTGCAGATCCACTCCTTCCCACCAGCAACGCCGCGCTGGCTTTCTCCAGAAGAGCAGCAATTTCTGCGCCATTCCAACGGCATTATTTCCCATGTCGTTACCGCGTATATCGCTACGTAGGCGAGCAAGGGCCAAACTGCATACCACAGCTTTATTAGGCTCGCCAGCACGATGGCCCCACCTATCATCGTGGTTGAAACCGCTGCATTAATCGTTAGGAAAAAGCAACTCATAAATTAGATCAGGACGAGACGCGAAGAAATGCCACTTACCCAGCTGTCAGCATCTCGATCAAGTGCGCCTCGGTCGTACCAGGCTCGTCACTTCTCTTCAGGCCTGAAAAGATCCCGTCTTGCTTGAGCAAAGCTCTAGCAGCAGCACGCTTGACCTCAATCATTTCAGCTTGGTTAATGTCCGGTCGAGGGGGAATCGCATAAAAGTCAAGGTCTTCTCGCAGGACAATAATACCAGCTCGCTTGCTTCCGTCATCACCTCGGCCACCTAACGAGTCGATAGGAACAGCACCGCCTTCCGGTGAGGCAGTAGGGGAGGCTTCATTGGGGATAGATTGGGCTACATTCCGGAAGAAGTCTAGCATGTACTGTAGAGATGCAGGATCATACTGGGAAATAAGGTCAGTGATATGTATATTTATGTTGGAGACAAGATTGCGAAGTGTAGAAGCAGGAAGACATGCGTTAAGCGGCACAGTAGACGCTTCGCATGTAATATTTGAGGTAATCTGAGTGAAATTTGTAGGGGGTTTATCATTGAGTGTACTGACATCGACTTGAACGGCATCACCCTCGGAGAAGCCGCCCATATGGCCTTCAGGAAAGAGGCCGTTGGGGAATAAGGAGAGGAGGACAAATTCAGGTAGCGTCAGCAGTTCGTCTCGAGATAGTATGAAGCGCGTGCCACTACATAGGAGACCCAATTAGTATCCAATCGAAGAATTATCTAGTAAGAATGATTTACCGTAGGTCCATAGTGATGGTTTCGTCAACGCCGACATCTATAATCCAGTTTTAATATTCCTTGTTCAATTCGAGGGTACTATTTCTTGCGCCTCTTACCTCCGATAGAATTGACAGGAGGACCTCCTTGCTGGACTTGAGTAATAATACTCGACGCACCACCGGCAGCCGCCATTAGATACGTAAATGAGAGTAACGGACTATATCCTTCAGAATATGCGGGAGGCGGTTCGTTGGGATCGTCGACTTTCTGACTCGACTCGCCCTTAACGTCTTGTGGGAGCGCCCGTTTAGTTTCTGCGACTGTGTCGTTGAATGAACTAGACCTCTCGAGAGGGCTGTCAAATGCAGAGTCAGAGGGTGCGTAGGCTGGAGCAGCAGTCGCAGATGATGCACCGGCTTCGGAAGTAGGTCCGCAGGTAGTCGGCGCAAGCTTGAAGTGGTCGTCTACGGTGTATAGACTTGAGAACGGCGGTGGGGCTGGACGAGAGGCGGCTAACGAGAACGATGTAGAAGCAGAAGCTTCAGAAGTCGGGTAGGGATATTGCGGAGGAGGTGAACGTCCCCGGCTGAGATTGTCTAGATTGTCTACTTCGTCGTTTTCGAATCTCAGGTTCCCTTCGTCTTCGTCGATATTGGTCGGTGGGAGCCCGGCGGACACGGACTGTCCGTGACTTTCCTCCTGCAATTCAGACAACTTGGCGGTGTAAGCTGCGAAGTGGAAAGCTCCTTTTTTTTGGGTGAGCGGCTGTTGGCGCTGATGTTATTCACGGCCGAATGTGTTGTCGCTTTAAGATTACACACGGCAGCAAGTGGACTGATGTCTCTGTCGCATAAGGAATCGGACACTAAATTTAGATATTAAGCATCACTTTGATGATCAAAAGTGGTCGTAATTGTACAAGATCAAAAGTGTCAAACAAGTTCAAGAATGGTAAGTTGCAATTATGAAGTTGATGATTCTGGGAATCTCAGGCTCGACTTCCTTAATTTTATTGGTACCGGCAAGGCCCCCTGAAGCTGGAGTACACAGATGTATCTTAAAGCTTTATTTGGCAGAAAAGGTACTTAGCAATCTTGGTACGACCAACAGCCTGGGGTGCCGCCTTCCATGTTTGGTCACAACATTATGACTGGTTGACTAACCGCCAATTGTTAGTCAATCCAATCAATTTAATTAGTAGAGTTATCCATAACGATATCCAATCGATAAGACATCCTATTATTGTATATTGTATATCAATCACATGGTTACCTACCTAAGGTAGGTAGATAATATGTCCATTGGAACAGCTTTGATTTATTCTCCATCGAATAATTGAACCTGGTTCCCGAGAGATCTATCTAGATTATCCATGGATTTCTACGATACGTCAACGGCTTTAGGCGCTAAAATGATAGACATTTAGAATTACAAGCATAATTAAGTCCAGAACCACGATTAAAGAAACAGCCATCTTATTATTTGTATAACTCTTGCCTTGAACAATTCTACTTTCAAGGTTAACTAACAGGTACATGTAACTACCTGTTATTTGATGTTTCAACATTGAACCCTAAAATGTTGAAACAGTTTATGCAACAATCCATTTATACGCTTGAAATATGTATGTTGACTTATGAATATTTATAGGGGCGACCAACATGTCCAATATTATAGCCCTTACATATGTGTACCCAGCATATTGATAGGTAAGAGAGATATGTGAATGCGCGGGTGTAGATATCTAGGTGCTGTTTAACAAATACGAGGTTCCAATAATAGAACAAGCATAGAGAATATTTAAATAGCTAATCAATGTTGATAGACGATTGTGGTTGTCTTGGTCTAAGTGATACCATAGTAAATAGAAGTATATCCTCCTTTCTCAGCTCGGATGTAGCGAATATCATGAAATACCTAAGGATAGAAGGAAGATAAAAAATTGCATCCACACACATCCTTAACAAGTCATAGTATCGCACCCGTGAAATAAAACTCGTATTACCATATCTACAACTGTTATAAGATATCATGTTTATTTCCTAAGTTTTAAGGCCGCCGCAGGAGGCAAGTAGACCTGCTTTTTAGTGACCAACAGTCCTGTCAAATCAATGCCTCTTCTACATATGAACGCCGGGCTTCATGACAATCATCCTCGACTCGTCCCCGTAATCGATCCCTTCATCTACTGGGCCTAGGTTCTCATTCCTCCATCGTCTTGACGCATTCCCATTCGCCTCGCAAGTTCTCCTTCCATAACGAAACCTTATTGTCGCCGCCGCTAACGGCCAATACGTTCCCGCTAAGGCTCCAGCTAACGCGCCACACCTCTGCGTCAAAGTTCAAGACCTTAGACGACCACTGGCCCTGACTAGCATTATCGCTTGTCCAGATTCGTACTGTCTTATCTTGCGATGCCGATGCAATATAGCTCTTCTGTAGTACTGTCGGGCTCCATGCCACATCTCGTACCCAATCCGTGTGCCCTGCCAATGGCTCCCGCTCCTGCTTATATCCTTGCGTGGCAGGGTCGTAAGCCCACAGCTTAAGCACGTTGTCACAACCTCCCGTAACGAAACGGCGCTGACCAAGAGCGCCCGGCCCTGGGGGTGCAGAAGAGACAATGCTACCAGGCGTTGTGGCAGGTGCCCAGGAAACTGAGTTGACACCAAGACCGTGTGCCGGGAACGAGACGTGGGAGAAGTTGTTGTCCTTAAACTCGAGCACGGACACGTTTCCGTCAGATGACGCGCACGCTAGAAGACAACCCGATTCGTGCGGTGACCATGCGACCATGTTCACCGAGGCCTTGTGGAGAGCAAAGTCGAAGATTCTTTGCCATTGGTTTGATTGTTCGCGCCAGATAAAGACCTTGCCGTCGTAGCCTGCCGAGGCAAGAATATTGCCGTATTTAGGGTGCGCCCACGAAACACACCATACTGCGCCTTCGTGACTATACCAATGATTGTTAGGGGTGTTGTTGTTTTGATAGGGGGGAATAGACTATACCCTTTTAATGTCTCCGTCAGCCGTTGAGATTCGCCTTCGATCTCGAATATCTTGATCGTCTTGTCCGAGGAACATGTTGCAAGCCGTCGGCCATAGTAGTCGAGGACAGCATCATGCTAAAGGATGTTAGCGAAAGCTTTAGTATAGCCGCAGCGGACGTTGAAGGTAGAGTTATCGTATCGAGTAGAATCGAGGCGTGGTATGGGTTTTGCTCGGTATTTTACATACAATCATGTCATCGTGGCCAGAGTTGGTTATTACTTGCGCCTATAGGAGAGTAAACATTAGTAAGTCATGGACTAAACAGCTTATAGATTTAACTAGCCAACATACCATATTGAGAAGAGGATATAAAGAGATAGCTTATAGGGAGTATAGAGCTCGGGACTCGACCAAGGAAAGTCGTGTTGTTATCTGATTTAGTTCTTGATAGGGTCACCTTGGCTTTGATGTTCAAGCTGTCAAGTCGCCCGTACCTTCACCTTAACTTGGCAGCTGAGGTAAACAAGTTCCAAAGCTCCACCAAAGTTCATCAAGTGTTAGTTACACTACAAGATCAATGGCATGCATTCAATGTTACTGGTTGGTGGATCAGTCCAGATTTCATTAAGTAGAGCTCCACTTCTATCAGGGCTTTTTCGGATTAATATTTTTCATTTTTCAATGGCATAGAGTGGACCTAACTTAGGGGCACGGCAAGGTAAGGTTCCACTAACATGCACATGGCGGGGTCCTGTGGGGATTTTGTTTCTAGGTACGTACCTGCGTTAGTAAGGAATCTTGAGCCGATAAGAGAAGAATTGACATCATGGTTGGCCTGTCGGTATATTGAACCGTGTCTGCTGAGGCTAAAGCTTACATCGCAAAGGAACTCCGAACGGTACCTTTCCTCGTGATGCTGATTTGAATCACTTCAAAATCTAACATCTGCAATTTGTGGAAAGGGTCGTCATTATTTCTTCAATTTCGCCTTTTCCCTGACTTGTATTATTAGTTATACCTACGCGCCTATCTATCTTGCGTAACTTCCCTAATAACCTGACTCAGTAACCTAAGATACCAAGGTTCTGTCCAACTGAGAACGTTATTTTCATCTGTTCCTTTGTCCACCTGGCAAACATCTCTTAGGTCACCACCACTTTCAAGTTTTGCCCACGCGCGCACATACATTAGGTACCTCAGGTGCACACTGAAATCTTCGCCAATTTCTCAAATCTCTTCTTTCCTCAACTAAAACTCGACCTTCACTCAAAAAAGTAACCGACCAGTCGAGTACCATACCCTCAACAATAACTAAACCTCTATATCGCATCGCCACTTTGTACTAGTCCATCAGAATGGCGGACAATCTCTGCGGTCCTTCGACCGCTCCCAAATCACTATCCCGTCACTTTGAAAAGGACCGTTCTCTACAGCAAGACCGATTCGCTTCTTCTGCCGGACCCTCTAGTGGCCTTCACGATGCGACGCAGGTTAGTATTCATCTCAGCTTAGATGATTCAATGTCTTCTTCTAACACTATTGTAGCGCTTCCGCAGCCTTAACTTAGGCGACAACAGATTCACGTCGGATTTCTCAAGATTCCAAAATGCATCCCTTCTTGATAACACCTCAGACATTGGAAATTGGAACCACAATCACCAAGTAGTCCCTTACCCAACCTATGCCAACGATGAAGCCTTCTCGCCTGTCAATCCTTCAACGCGTCCCAGAGTTGCCACCGAGCGCTTCAATACCTCCTCTCGAACTGGTGCTGCCGTTCCCGCCTTTCCCACCTTTCCCACCTTTCCCACTATACCCATCATGTCTACTCCTGTAGGCCCTTCCACGGCGACTCATTTCCCACCCCTCGTCCCTGTAGATCTCAGAGACTGGGCCAACGAGTTCAGGCTGAGGATGGACCATCACGAGTTCAACCAGATGACAAGCTTCAGTCCTCCCGCACAGGCATTCAGACCACCTATGAATGCCTATGGCGAAAGCATGTTGCGGCAGCATATGGGCATCCTCCGTGACCAGGTCTCCGGCCCCAAAGACGATCTCGACTTCGATGCCGCGCTATGTGCCTGGGCAGCCGCCAACAGTCCCGAGACGCAAGCTGAAGCTAACGCGTGGCTTCGTGTCGAGGATGTCTGTGTAGACAGTCATGTTCGCGACACGCAGGCCACTACACAGTCGGCTGATTCTCATCAACCTACCTTGGCGGATCTAACTACCTTCGAGCAAGAGATCGTCCTAGCAGCCGAGCACCCCTGGACCAATATGACAGAATCAACAACTGAGAAGGAGGACCCGGTCCAGTCTCAAGGCAAAGAGGACTCGGAATTGGCTATGGCCGCGCAGCAGATCCTAGATTCTGTCTCGGGGAACAAGTCTGATAAGTTCAAGAACTCTGGCTTCATTCAGATGATGCAGAGGATTGCAGCGCAGGAGCTGGTCGTTCGGGATAACAACTTGGTTGAATCTCTCCAGAATACTAACTAAATTGATATTGATTGCTGATACCGACGCCGAGGCGCCGTCACCGAAAGAGAAGGTGGCGTTGAAGCCCATTGCTGTCGAAGACTCATCTTCATGAGTAGAGCCAGGACTGGTTAAGGAGCGGGATGTTTTACAGGCACGCATTGATTTTTACTAGTATGTAGAAATAACATACATCATGATACCCTATAGTGGTGTGTTCTATTATTACCTGTGCATGTTTCCCTATTACGAGTCGTAGTTCATGATATCTTATAATTAAGTAAGTTCTATGCGGATATCGCTTATAGGTCTATATGTACTTCTCATATCTTCTAGTTGGCGCCATGATATATATACCTATATATACCTACCTATATATGAGCCACGTTTACCTCTTAATTCCAAACAATATTACCCTCATGCTTAGGGGGGAGGCTTGTTTATGACATATATAAATATCACTTTTGTGCTACCGATGCTCGCGAACCGTAGTATTCGGAGTAAGGGAACAGGAAAGGAGACGTTGACGCCAGCCCGAGATCCCGATATCACGAATAAGGGGTAATATAATTCCCGTATAACCCGCTCACCCCTTTCCCCTTTATAAATGGTAGCCAAACAAAAAAAGGCGCAAGAGAAGCCATACCCGATGAAAGGGGTGGCTGTGCTCATAATAAGAGTCCAATAAAAGAGTTCGTGTCAACTCGGATTGCAGCCTTGCGTCGTATCCGCATTGACTGCTCCGGGTCCGACCGTGCCGCGACGGTTCACATACACTTACGAGACAAGGCAACCAATGCGGAGCCCGCGGACCTCACCGGCGGTAAGGCGTCCACCCAAAGTTCAAATATAATATTCGCCACGCGGCTGCGGGTGTCCTAAGGCGGCTGTCTTGCGTTTCCCACCCCCCGGTTAGTTGCCGTGATTTCTGCAGGTGGCTTACATGAACACTGAAGAAGAAAAACAAAACGAATGCTGGGTACCTTACCTACCTATGTATAGTATGTATTTCGGGGTCGGACTTACGGGAGTTGAATGCATGTATGTCGGGGTTGCATACATATACTGATATGCACAAGATCTATTATAGGTACATACCTATGCTTGGTATCATGTCTAAGAGGTTATGAGCGGCTGACGAGAGCCGCTACGTAATATGGACGACGCGTGAAGCGGGCCATAAGGCGTAAGGTAACCGATACATAGGTAGGTAGGTATCGAGCATTTCCACGGACGTAGGCCACAAGGTAGTAATATACAATGCCTTCGTAACCCGATATTGTTAGGCCCATAAGCACGGATGAATTCGTAGAGCACTAATGCGGCTCCGCGCGCCTTGTGGTATTAGATCGGAACTCTGCCTAATATGCAGAGAGGCGACGTGGCCTCGTTGAAGAACCCATCTTGGTTTGGCGTTGTGACGAGTGAACCAAGAATTAGGAACGAAAGGGAAGACTTGTGTATGCAGGACTGGGGATCCTACATAGGGCTGATAAGGCGTGCCATGTCGGCCTGGCAAAGATGCGGATACGGTCCTTTTTCTCCTATGATGTCGTGAAATGTCTCAACCATGTGGATTACCAATGGTATTATCTCATTTGATATTCTAAATGTATATCATATGTAGTAGAAACGGGTCCTCAAGAACCGGAAAGCAACGGCGTAAAAGACTGCGCCCTGCGTCTTGTAGAAAGGATGGAAACGCACAAACGCATCTGAGCCTGCTATCCACCTAATATGCAACCCTACTGTGGATAACCATGCAAGACAGGGTCCCTAAAGTAGGCAATCTTGGTGAGATTTCCGTAAGACACTGATTTATACGAATATCTCCGTTTTTATTCCTTTGCCGTTTCAAATAACTTTTTAATCACAGGATATTTGTACGTCGGCTCTCCGTGCCGTGAAACACGATATAGCCACTTTCGGTATGTATTAAGGTGCGGTTAGAGAACGAAAAGAAGGTAGGACATGGCGAGAACAACCCTCACCGAATAATCTGTTATGTACGATAGAGAGATTATGGTATAGTCGATAGTATAGTCTGTGTGTATGTAGTCTAGATAGTCTGTGTAGTCTCTACATATGTAGTCCAATGCATGGAGGGTCAAGCGTTGAAATCGAGTATGAGTCATAATTCGAATGGCAGGGCTAAGAAACACTGAAACTGCAACTATGCGTTGGAATTGGTTGATCCGATTGCTTGAAAATGCTCCTGTCGCTGATCTATTTACCCATGTCGCTGATCCATGGCCTATCCGAATTGAGATTCGATTCCGCCAGAGACAGAGCGCGGGGAGCTTATTTTCCTTTTTGCAACGTCCCATGCCCATGAACACTGTGGGGTTGAAAAGATGCGAGAATGGAATGGATGGGCATTTTAATTTTTCGATGCAACCCGCGTTGCGCACGCGTCTGCGAATCCTCAAGTATACGCAATTGAGTTGACGACTGCGCATATGCGAAAAAATTGTACCTAACAATGGGTCTGCGACGTCATGTAAATCTGTATCATCAAGCATTAACCATATGTTGGTTCTTAAATCTCCTGCAACTGCATCGATGGATCATCGTCAGTGGAGACAGTGAGATGGTAATTTTTTTTAAATAAAGCGAGAAAAAAGAAAAGTTAGCGGAGATGAAAATAAGCGAATTGATCAACATAACAACCGTTTGATGAAAAGCTGACCATCCAAGACTCTAAAAGAAGAATACGGTACCATATACTACCATATACAACGGGCAGTATACCGTATATGATAGATTAATAATGAACAATTGAAAAATCGAGTTCGAGACCGAAAGACGCCCGACTTGTATGTACTGACAGAATTTAAAGACTCGTAATTGTCATGTAGCTAGGCGTTTAGCTCGAAGTTGCATCCAATATCTCCATTCCAGGCCCATTTAAATGTTCTATCTAATATGGATACCTGCGCACTACAATGTATGTAAAGCGGGCTTCTCGAGGCATTTTGTCGTCGCTAAATATCACGAGGAGGATAATCTCTACTTCCTATGGATAAGAAGACTTAAAAGACCTTTCCATATTTAGCTGGCCGACGACCAAAGAACCAATAGAATTTATTTGCGACATGTAGGAGCGAACAGACAATAATAGGAATATCGTAATCCGTCACAAGCCTTGGCTTTAAATGGTTTAGAGTCTTGGCGATGCAGCCCCCAGAAACCGAGAAACCGGCAGGACGGACAGAGAGATGCACGGTTTTAATTGAAACAGGAATTAAGAACTAAAAACGGTGTTAGCATATGTAGTTATTTCAAATCCGCAATAGCTAGGGACTATTCGCGGTGATAAGACAATTTTTGCAACGGTCAGACTTTTTTTTTTCAAGTTGCATACGTAACCTACATAGAGAAAGTCTAGATTCGCAAAGTATTGCATACTTTTTGCTGCATAATACCGTTGTCTCCGTTGCAAATTGATGCTTTTTTTCTTTTCTTTTCTTTTTTTTTTTTTTAAATTCCATATACACTTCCATCAGTTGCGACAAGGTTCATATCTACGGAACACACACTAAAAAAAAAAATTTAATAATTACAGCGGCAGGAAATACGGAAGAAGGCTGTGCGCTAGTTGAAGGAGGAACATTGGGAGGCAGGGATCGTTAGTGTAGAACGGAACTATGGGTCCATCAGGTATGAGTCACACGCTCTCAAGCGAACATATTTTGTTCTTTCCTAACTAAACATGTGTTTCACCCGTCAAGCTTGCCTTAGAAATTGCTTACAATCAAAATTGTTAATGGTTAGCAAGTGACTGTCAGATCTAACTAGCCGCACCCGGGTATCCTTGGCTCCTAGAAATATACCCACGCGTACGCCTAACAAGTAACGCTAAGACCCCCCTGCGCCCCTCCCCGTTTCTTGCTAGAGTTGTAAAAGTTACAAAGTTGAGAAGTTGCGAGGCACGGGTTTTTGTCTTTTTGGCTTTCGCTCTTGGCTAATGGATTGTTGCCTGAAAAATTACTAAAGTCTCACCTCTCCCACCGAAATTCAGGCACGAATCTTTTTTTTCTTTTCTCCCCTCTTCTATTCTATATCCCCCTCCACACAATTACAGAACAATATCATAAGCAGACATTAAAGCATTCATCAAAATGCGCTAAGCAAACCAGACCTCGTGTCTCTTCTCTTTCTCATGTGCTCTCCGTAGCAACAGTCAAAATTCAGTCTCCAAAGAATAACAATTATCTCCCCACTCAACCCTTCTTCTCAGCTCTCCCTTTCCAGGAAGAACTGAACTCAAACGAAGCTATTCACAGCTCTCCGAGTTCCCTCACCACCGCCAACATTCCCCAGCAAGACTCTTTAGTCTTCACCACGGATTCTCAACAGCAAACATGGCTTCCCTCCAGTTCCCCGAGCCTGCCGGCACAATCCGCGCAATCCAGCTTCCCACCACCGCAACAGGACTTTGTCTTGTTCGATCAACCCCAGCCTCAGAGACAGAACGTTAACCGCTCTGTATCCTCACCTGCCTCAGTAGCAGTATCAGCCTTTGGATCTCTTAACGTCAACCCTAGCCGCTCTCCGCATATCTCAAACGGTTCTTCACCTTCAATACAGAATCAGCGAGTGGCTCAGATTATCCGGGCAACAGGACATCAGACTTCTTCCTCTACGGCATTTACCAATCAGTTTAATTCTTCTGTGCATAATCAGAACTTACAACAGTATTACGCATCAATTTCTCCTTTACGTTCTACCGCTGCGGCGAACCAAAATCGTGTTGCTCGTCCACCTGTACCTCTTTTCACACAGGGCGGTAGTAATCAACAGGCGGCCAGGATGGATCTTCAAGGTAATTACTCAACCTCTTTCTCTGATTGCATCCCTGTCTTACACAACCCAGACGCTCTGAGCCTTGAAGACCTCACGGCCTTTCAGGGGCCAACGACTGCCTACTCTTCCCCTGGAATTCCCGGCTACGACGTGAGTGTGAGCTCTGCCTCTAGCACTGCTAGCAACATGGGGACCATTTCGCCCCAAGACTTGTTCCTCGACCCCACCACGTCTGCCCCGAACTCTACCGCGATCACGAACTTGACGTCACCTTCCATGTATGACGGGTCTCCTGAGCTTCAAGATTATGAGTTTGAACTCTCCCCGAATCTTGGTAATAACGATTTCGACCATGGCTTTAGTAGGGCATGGCCTTCTTTGTTTCCCGAGGAAACCCCAGTTGTCAATACTGCCTCTACCGGCGACGAATTGTCACCGGCACAGCAGTCTGATGAGCTAGAGGTGGCGGAAACCGCTTCTAAGCCTCGTCGCAAATCTGGTCACTCCCCGTCGTCCGGGAATCATGGCAGACACTCTTCAGTCTCTGGTGTGAATCCTCGTCGTCGAGACAAGCCACTTCCTCCTATCGTAGTTGATGATCCGAACGATTCGGTTGCCATGAAGCGAGCGCGAAACACACTGGCAGCTCGCAAGTCTCGTGAGCGTAAAGCGATACGATTTGAGGAACTTGAAGCGAAGATCGCTGGTCTTGAGAAAGAGCGTGATTTTTGGAAGAGGAGATGCGAAGCACTAGAATCTCAAACTGGTTAATATTGGTAACATTATGGGATGTGTGTTGCACGAAACGAACTGGAGGGTAGCCCAATGATGGCAACCCATCCACTTTCAGCGAGGCAGCAGTATCAAGTTGGTACTATCGGCGCAATCGGATAAGACGCCATCTGCCGTGGGTATATATTAGAGAGTTCTTACATGTCATTTATAAGCGTATTTTGGGGGTTCCCGCAGTTGAGGAACGAATCAAAACAGGTGGTCAGTATTTCCTAGTGTCTGTTTTCAGTAGTCAAACAGTCTCCGCCACTTCCCATTGGGGGTTTTTGGGCCAGATATCAATACAGCGAGTTCAGCGTATGTGTTCACCATGTCCTTTCGAATCAAGTTAACCAGTGCATTCCGTATCATCGTGATTCGTTCCACGTCGTATTAATCCAAGTATCGATCGATCTAAGATGACAGGTAACGTTTCCTAGACTTCAGTTGGTTACTTTATACTTGTATGTCTAAGCATAGCGTTTGCTTGCTTGTGTCTACCATTCGAGCGGGCTGTATGGTAGTTTTCTCGTGGAAACAGAAGCCACATAAGTCTATATCATGTAGGGATGTATCTACTACAAGCATGGCTCACATAGATTCATTCGCTTCCATGGGCAGCTTGTGACTAGCAATCGTCTAAATATTTTATTTGCTTCCTTTTACTCTATTCCGTAGTCACGCTGCCGGTTTGTAATTGGGTTTGCCAATATAGGTCCAGATAGGGGGGGTTAAAAAGACGGTAGTTTTAAAGTTCTTTGTTGTGATTATATATATGGTATGCGTATCATTTATATAGCCAGTCACGGTACTATGTTTAGTCATTTTATACCTAGGTAATCAGCGCGAGACACCGCTGGGTTTAAAGAGTCTGGCCAGAAGGTAATGAGGCAGCAGGTAGATGATATAGACTACTCCTTGGTGACATTTTGAGGGGCGTTGGCTTTGACTTGTTTAATATCGAGTCTAGTATCTTAGGAAGGGTCAGTACGTGTATATATGGTTCATCTATAGTTATTTGATCGATAATACATAGGTAGCTTTGGTTTACTCGTAGCTTTGGTTTACTTATGCAAAGAATTAGTCACATACAAATTTAAATAACGAGGTCACTAGAGATAATCATAGGTACTCTTTCTAGGACCGTCTCGTAGTATAGGCCAGCCTTGAAAGTAAGACGAGGTTAACTTGTAACTAGTATAACTATGCCGTTTGTTTGAGATTACAGTTCCTGGCTATTATTCTGCGATTCTAGGCATAGCACTCAGGAACGTCATATATGTATTAACCAGATCCCCCCTAAAACGATTGATATATTGCACTTAACCCTATATAATATGATACCCATGTTGATCTATATACAAATGTTGTCAGTGAAAGGAACATCCAGGATTCTAAGAAGGAAAGTGACTAGAGAAGATGGCGTTATGGCTATAATATTATTTTTCTAGACCCGAGTGACCCCTTTAGATATCGCAGAGTCGGTTAAGCAAAGCACTGGACTTTTCCCATCTAAAAATCGTAGAAAAAAATCATCGTGTTATGCATTACGCCCAGTCTCAGAAACTCCAGGAAGCAAGCTACCTATGAAAAGGATAGAATATCATCCGGAAGCGAATATAGCGGTAGATCTTGAAAGAGTTTCAAAGGGAAAAAAATTAAATTAAAAAGAAAAAAGCGAAAAAAAAAAGTAACAGAATAACAAAAAGTCAAAAAAGCAGGCCCCAAGGTCCGACCCCACCGCATTTAAACTGAGCAAGAAGGCCTATCTTGCCCGCCCTGCGTTGGGCTCGAACCCGGAAACACCATCGAAAAACCCGGCGAACGGATTTTGTCTACACCGTCATACCTAGAAAACCACTAAGCCACGGCCTCATTGGGTTGTGTATCTAAAGGTCAGGAGTGATAGAGGGGTTTGTTAATTGGTCTTTTAAGGCTGCTGCGGGTTGCTTAGGGGAAATGCGGGCTGGTACGTAGGTACGTACAGGTGTTGGTGGTTGCCTGGCGACGGCGAGGTTGGTGAGGGGCTTATTTAGGGGGGGTGGGTTTGATATTACACTCCTGTGACTATATATAAAATACTTAGGTACTTGACCTTTAAGCTCACCCTTCGTAGTTTAGATATCGTGTTTTTAAGTGAACAGATAACCCTATGTATTGCTGTTTTATGCTTCTATATTCCTTCCCTTCCTACCTTATTTCGATATCTTAGACTAGGTGACGTATATCGTTATGTTTAAATCGTAATCCTTTTGTAGTTTACGATTAGGAAGGGTGTTCCTAACCGTATTACGAAGACAGCCGGTTACTTTCTAAATATACGAGCATAATTAACACTTTCTACACTATGGTAAAAGACCATAGATACCTACAAATAGATAGGCAACTACGCCATGCTCATCTCCAAATCACCAATACCACACGGCACACCAATAGTCAAGCACATAATCGATATTTCAACATCTCAATCATATCCCATTCACATATACCCATCTACCTAACCTATGTCCCCTACATACCCCCCCTTATCCTATTCAACAACCCCCTAATGCGCCTTAACCACACCAGCCGCATCCGCCTGCGCCGCAATCCTCTTCTTATACGCCTGGACATCACCGGGGAACTTCCAAACCGTCCCATTCTCGCAAACCCACAAGCTCGTACACACCGTCTGCAACATCGTCACGTCGTGAGAAACCATGAGCACACCTCCTTGGAACTCCCGCAGCGCCTCGGACAAGGCATCCATAGCTTCGATATCCAAATGATTGGACGGTTCGTCAAGAACCAATATGTGCGGTTGCGTGAGGGCCAAGCATGCGAACGCAACCCTGGACTTCTGACCTCCGGAGAGGACTTCCATCTTCTGCAGGCCGGTTGTGCCCGTAATACCGAACGCGCCGAGTGTCCGGCGGTACTCCTCGTCCGTGCGACCAGGGTATTCTTTGGACATGAAGCTGACGGCGCTTACGGTGAGATCGAGCGCGTCGACGTGGTGCTGCGCGAAGAAACCGATGCGCAGACGCGAGTTCTGTTGAATGAGACCCTTGGTTGCTGATAACTTGCCAATAAGCAACTTTAGGATGGTAGTTTTACCCGCACCGTTAGGCCCAACAATACCGATACGTGAGTCCAGTTGCACGTCCAAGTCCACGTTTCGTAGTAGGATCTTGTCTTCGCTGTACCCAAACGTGACCCCTGACATTTGCACGATTGGAGGCGAAAGCTTCTCCACCTCTGGGAACCGGAACTTGACGCTGTATTCTGTCTCTGGCGGTTCGAGAATAGGCATACGCTCCAGCTTCTTGATACGCGACTGTGCTTCGGCAGCCTTGCCAGCGTTGTATCGGAACTTGTCGATGAAGGCCTGCAGATGGGCGCGCTGCGCCACGTTGTTTTCGTACTCTCGCTTTGCAGTCTTCTTGCGCTCCTCTCGGGTAGCGTAGAAGGATTCGAAGTTGGCTCCCCTGTAGTAATCGAGCCTCATCGAGTGCTGGTGTATAATATCTGTCGCGACTTCGTTTAGGAAAGCCCTGTCGTGACTGACTACCAAGACAGTGCTCGGGTATGTGAGTAGATAGTTGGAAAGGAAAGCAATCGAGGGGACGTCCAACATGTTGGACGGTTCGTCGAGAAGTAGTAGATCGGGCTCGCAGAAAAGGGCTCTGGCAAGGGCCAGACGCATACGCCAACCACCGGAGAACGTCTTGGTTGCGAACTGCTGTCGTTCAGCAGAGAAACCCAGACCAGCTAGGATACTAGCAGCTCTGGACTCTGCCTTGTCTGACTCCATCTCAGCTAACTTGGCCTGGATTTCTCCCAATTTCTGGTCAAGCGCTTCTCTGTCATTGTCCAACTTCGCAGCATCTACGGCAGTATCTGCCATAGACGATCGCTGTGACTCGATTTCGGCAAGACGAGCTGTTATCTCCTAGAAACAAAACATTAGCGACTGCTATTAGAGTCATGGAAGGGACAACGTACTGTTTGCTCTTTGAGTAACACCTTTCGCCAAACGTCGGCGTCCAAGACAGCCTGTAAGGCGGATGTGTCATCACCGGTGATCTGGCGTATATTAGCGTATAGAACGTATTACTTAGCTGAGATAAGTGACATACCTCTTGTTCGACGTGGAGAATAGAAATATGTGTAGGCACTGGTAACTCTCGTCTTGAGAGCGCCCTGAGCAGCGTGGATTTACCAACACCGTTGTGACCAACCAAACCGTAACGGTGCCCGTATGCCAGTGTTAAGTCCGTATCCGCTAAGATACGGGTACCACCAATACCGACATCAATATTTTCAATTTTGATATCCTTTGTCTTGCCGGCACCGCTGCCGGAACCAAGCTGTAAGGGGTTGACAGCCATGTAGAACTCCTCATAGCTCTGAGCATCCTCTGCTTGGTTGATGAGTTTAGATGCTTCATACTCAACCGTCTTGAACTGCTTCTTGCTCTGCTTGGCGGCGATCTTACGCTCTGCTTTCTCAAGCTTCTTTCGGTCAACCTTAGACTCCACCTTACGAGCGTTGGCAGATTCAAGGTCAACACTCCCGGTAGCCACAGCTAGAGTCGAGGACATGTTTCGTTGAGCACCAACCTGGATGGCCTGGTCTAGTCGCCTCACGGCGGACGGTCCCCGTCTCTCACCATTGCTACTGTTGACTTCCTCATACTTTTCAACCCACTTAGAGACTATGGATCGAATCTTGTCCTGGTTGGACCCAGCCGAATCACCGGAAGCGGACAAAAGGAGCTCAGTGATAGCAGCAGCGGCCTCGGCTAGCGGAGACAGACCAGAGGATTCCTCGTCTCCTACCCACGCGGTGGATGCATGTCTAAGATAGCCTACCGAATATTCGGAGACAACGGGATCGATATCCGGGATGGCGGCTCTGATATCGGCCTCCATTTTAAAAGACGGGATGGAACGGGAAATTAGTGTGGAGGAATTATCGAGGAATTATCGATCCCAGCAAATAGTAGTCCGTGGGACTTCTCGAAACGGAACTCAATTTGCGAAGACCTCTCAGCCTGGTTCGTTGCCGGCCCCCCCTGGGATCTGGAATTGGAAGAAACACGGGCTTCTAACAACGTGGATCCCTGGTTGTAAGATTTAATTTCCAAGGTACGGAATGTCCGATCCGGTATCTATGTATTGTACCTAGTTGAGGATGTTCCTTTTGCTGCCCCGAGCGGCGGTTACGGATTGAAAGCTTGGACTATGACGATCTGTACAATTACATAGAATAGGCACAATTATCAAAAAATGAAGTCTGAAATGTATGGATTAAAAAAGAGTGGATCCGGATATAGCGACACAGTAAGCAAATGGTTACCCAAATAATAATAACACTGTATTGAGTATATTGTTTACATAAATAATTCATGCACCTTATGTAATTCATTTTAATCGGTTTATCCTCGGTCTATTGACGTCTGTATCAATATACACGTAGCAAGTACATCGTACAAATGAGGTACGTACATGACATGTAAAAGCGGCCAACTTTCATGTAAGTGTCCGTGATATGAGGTATGGGTTCAATTTTTCTTCTTCGTTTGAATAAGAAAGTCGATCATTAATAATACATTCAACTAGGTAGTCAAAGTCATGTTTGAATCAATCGGCGCTATAACATTAACCATTAAGATCACGACTCTTCAATTATACTAAGTTCCTTCAGGGGTATATCCCTTACCATAGTACGATGTTGGAAAACCTACCTTATTCTTCTCGATCAGTCGACGGCTAGGTCCGATTGATATATGCTGGGATAACATAATATGATAGGCTACCGACGTGAAGGGATAGGACCCGGCTATATCTCAAAAAGTGCTTAACCACGACATCCCAGCCAATAAATCAACATCGGCAGTAGGGAGATGAGAAGCGCAAGGCTAGCCCTAAGAGCTTAAGAACAAAACAAACTAAAAAAGTCCTACATTATATAGTTACCTTAACTATATATGAAGCCTCGGAGTTTACTATGCTAAGATAGGTAGGTACGTATGTATATATTGTGTTGTCAGCGCCACAGTGATCGGCGAAGCTATCAGCGTCGCAACTGGATGGGCTTGTCGGATCGATCTCGTCCTAATACTAGAGTACATATATAGGTACATACCTACGCGCGTGCCAATAGGATATTCTGCCAATAGGATATTCTGCCTATCCTGTCCCGGTTGCCGTGCGGAGAGAAGCGAAGCGCGTGGGATGACGCGACGCACCAACCGCGGACGCGCTCTGGGATCGGAAAATCGCAATCCTACCTGGAAAGAAGCTTGAAACGCGGCGCCATTCCGTCGCGGGCAAATATCCCGATTCTCATTGGCTGTTCTACGCACTTAGCTATCGCAAGCCACTTGTGGGATTCTTCAGCCAGCCAATGTCTCGTCGTGCCCTATCATTTCCCTTGTGGGCAGTTGCGAAGCCTTGGTGGGCTTATTTGAGTATGGTAATGCTGGGATGCATCTATTATGCTGGTCCCTATTAGGTTGGATGTCCGGGGTAGGACGAAGCTGGATCTATGTATTAGTATATATCGCATTACACGCTTTTCGTAAGTCTACCTCGTTATACTACGATATACGATATCTTCATTTTCTTTCATTGAGTCGTGACGAAATATGGGATGTCGGTAATGTGCCCCCCTTTTCTCGCTGAAAGAGGTATGGCGAACGGCACAAGTGGGATTGTTGTACGATTTTCTTACCTTGCCTGGGTGCTATGCTTTTTAATATATCTTCGAACACGTCTGCTCGTGTGGGGGTTACATTTCGCCTCTTGAGGGGGATTCAACGTCATATCATCAGGTAATAATCGATTTGAGACATAGCCGTAAATCAAGCTTCAAGCACCCGATTTCTCTTGTCTTGCCCAGGCATGTGAGGCTTGTTTAGGGTGTTTGCTGTAGCGACCGAGTACGAGTTGTGGCGGTTCGTAGCCCGTGTTGGCAGGTAGGCATTTCAACTTAGCAAACTGCTATATTAAGTCATGTCGCAGTCATAAATCCGTCGTAACAGCAGGATAAAGGGGGAGAACTGCTGCTCACCGTCTCCTTGCTTTTGTCCGACCTGACGCCAACTTGTTAGTAGCATGATCTCCGGCCCGCACCTAGATGACGGGCCTCAACACGGCATGACGCCGCCGCACCTGGGAGAGCCCAGGTTTCACTTCTGCTCTGTTGGGTGGCTCGCAGGTGACGTGATGCTGCGGAGAACTTTTGATTAATCGGCGTCGGTACGCCGCCCGGTTGCATTGCTAGGAAGAATGGAGGTAGCTGGGCTCGGCCGTAGGTCATCGAGTGAGCCATCTACTGGCATAAGCTGAAATACCTTAACAATATAGCTTAACCCGTTGCCGTGTACATGTAACTCGATATTTCTGCACCGAGGATATATGAGGTCATAATCAGGCTTTGGCGTTTGGTTGACATATTTTGATCCAAGGGTGTCCCGTCTAATATTTAGTAAAATGCATCTTGACATGCTCGTAGATAATTTCCGAGAGAAAACTACTAGTCACTTAGCACTCTACTAACTACCGTAGGCTGCCTATTCTCCGCAGCGATCTCGAGAAATCGGATGATTTCTTATCTCAGTGCCTCGGACCATAATTCGTATGAAATCTCGAATACCTACTTGTGGTCTGAGCTTGCTGAGATAACTGATTTCTACCGAGTGTTAGACTGGATAATTATATTGGTGGACTGATGTATTCGTTTCTTATTTAACTCTGTCTTCATGTATATAGTTATCTTTCGACATAGTGTTGCGGACACTGGCGTTTATAGATCAATTATGAAAAAATTCTTAGTTGTCTCTTAGACCTGGTGTAGGCGACTTTCAAAATAGTTCATTGTTATTGTTACTGTTAGTGCTCTTGATTTCGGCCCCCCGCTTGTGGAGTAAGTGGCTCGACTTGGCTCATGTTGATAGATCCAAGTTCATGGTGGTGTTTTTATCAAATTGGCCCACATAATGCGGCACTTTGAGATTATGTAGGAATATCAGAGGCGCAAGTGATATATCATGCTACACTTGCTCTCTTCCTTTTACCGAGTTTTTGGTCTCAAATCATATTCTTGCAAAATGGGACGGAGCAGGTTTCGCTTATAAGCCACATCACGTCAAAACCTCTTCGGCGTGCTAGGTACACGACGCCTCCAAAGTTCCATTGATCAATGGCATTGATAGGAGTGAGGGGTGCTGAGGGGTAACACGAAAGAAAGACTGGGCACTTGTAGCTATTTTAAGGAGGAATAGATCCCCACATCTCCAGCTTTCATCGTCACACGGCTAATGTAAGTTATCAGTGTATATATTTATTTACAAATCCAACTGAGGTATAGTATTGTTATGCTAGTAGCTAGATAGTGCTATTCACTAGTCCGTAGCGAACAGCCTCGATCCTTGCTCGTTGATAGGTCATTACACGCGCCCACTATTTTACTAGCTAGATAGCAGATATATACTTAACTAGGGAGTCTCTTCTTAGAAGATGTCAAGTGCCTAAAGGAAAAAGGCGAGCTACATTGTAAATATATGTGATTCGGGTGTCAAATGTTTGCATCCGTTCCGTTGTGGTCTGAATAATTTAGAGGAATTCAAAAGCTTCCACTATCACTCTTGCACTGCCTAGTAGAAAGGGCGGGCTCTGGAGTTTTGTGTGGTTGATAGACCGAGGTAAAGGAATAAGCGACACTACATAGACACTACATGGGCATAATAAGACGGCTGTAATTCGTGATAGGAGCCGTCGGATCGTGACGGCACGGCAAGACGCCTTATCCATGACAAGCAAGCAGGGCCTTGTCTCGTGTTTCAACCTCGATTGGCTCCAATGTTCATGGGCTATTATTCTACAATACACAACTGGGATGCGCCGCAATCTACTTAGGTAACACTCGTATGCGTGTCTCGCCACCCAGCAGCTTTTCAGTCGTTGCTATCTATCCTTTGAAATAACTCATAATTATAAGTAGGATTAGGTATTGTGATACGTGGATAAAAGAAGCTTCCCACGTTTGTCTTCATTTGCAGACCTCCAGTAAGCCTTTCCGAGGGTAGGAATACATAATGGTAGACCGGAGAATTACGAATAAGGCGAACCACGAGCAGAGTTTTTCCTAGGCGGATGGATACACAAAAGGCGATGGCAATTAGATCAATATGTAGGTGTAAATGTGATGTGTAATTATGGGATGACGGGATGTGCCAGACGTCGTTGATAATTGGTGGTACGACCTGCTCGTTCCCCATGGGCACAGCTTGCTCATGTCGTGATTCGTGGCAGCAGGCGATGATAGACGACAAGCTACTGGTTGCAATGGTAGATGGTTGGGTACGGAGTTCCCTGGAAGGGAGCACAAGAATTTACACTGAAGCGGCAAGCATCAATATGTTAATACGGCACCGACAGCGAATATTGCGAGTTAAAAAAGGGGTGACGGTGAGGCCTAATTGTTGAGATTGTTTGCGTTTGGTGGTTATCAACTACCTAAGTGTGTTAGAGTAAGAAATGCGAGATATCTCGCAGGCTCTTCTGCTTCCGGGTTTAATGTATGTCGGACGTACAAAGCCGGGCGAACTCGAGGGAGAGATCCTTATTATATTATGACAAGTATGATAAGCCTGCCTTGTTTGTAAGACTTGGAATAAGCACTTGCGCAACTAAAGTACAGTTTCTGGGAATTAATCTACATTATGGGGTTATATATTCCTACACTTATGAGGCGTGTATAGATATTCGTGCAGTTTTGCTTTTCTTTAATAATCATAATAATAAAAATAACCCAATGCTTAGACGAGATAGATGCTTGAACTGCAGTAGAGTATGGAGAGGTATGTTAGTGAAATAAGAAAATATTGCATGTGTAATGTATCTCAACTTCTTAGAGGTAGTTCGAA